CCCGCCGCTCCGCCAGCCGCTGCGCCCGCGGCGGCTGCCGCTGGGGAAGCGGCGGCGCTCGGCGGAACCTCCGCGGCTGCGCCTGTGCTTGCGCTTCCGCCGGCGGCTTCCGCCGCAGCGGCGGAAGAGACGGCGGAGGATGCGGCGGCGGCGAGTGGGGCGGCGAGTGACGTCAGCAGACGGGCGTGGAGAGCTGGATCTGACGTGGACTGAAGCGACGCGGATCCGAGTCGCGCGATACGGTTACGCACGATATTCATCTTGTGGCACGTGGTTGACACGTGCTTCCCACGTGGACTTGAGGAATGGGCGAACACGAGAAGAGGGGGGGGGGGAGGGGGAGTTCTGGGACAATACGAATGCACACGTGCCGCTTTTCAGAATATCTCCAATCGTCTGACACGTCAGCAGTCAGAACTCGTCGAGCTGTCGAAACCGTCGGGCTGCCAGCAGCACTGGTAGCGGCAAATGGAGGACGGACGGTGGCGGCGATCGGCGAAATGGAGGAGAATCGGCGAAGAATCGCGAAGGCGGCGGGCGGGATGAAACGAAATGAGAGGTGAGGGAGCTCGTATGGGCTGGTGGACAGATGACGAATCTACGACTAGCACGTTCGCAGCTGAGGTCCCATGCAAACAACGGGAACTCCTCTAATATCCCTTTGTGGCTAGTTCTGGTACGAGTGCGGGTCCTTTCGCTGATGCTTGGGATGGATTTGTGCAGGCTGAGGTACGTGATATGGTTTTACTTCTGTACAACCGCTGCTAGCCCAAAAAATATATTAAAATATATCGATATCTCTGCAATATCGCGTATGGCGAAGCATCTTCTCGCCTTCGCTTCCGCGGTCCGTTGTGCTGCGCTGTCCCCCAAATGGTGGACGTGGACGGTGGAGATTTCGATTCCGACACGATTCACTGGACTAGGCGCGAGTCCCTTGCTGGGACAATTTTCGATCACGTGTCATGGTTATGATCGGTGTGCTGCACCTCAACACGGTTCAGTAGGGCAAAGCACGGAAATTACCGAACTGCCTAAAATGTGTTCGCTTTTCGTTGCTGTGAATTGTTTCCTAATCCAATGCCGTCCTTCTAAACACAGCTACGGTATGGCTAGAACAAATTTAGAAATTCCCAGATGAGGCACTGCTTCCAGCCGGCTCCTTGGCATCACCACCTAGTCTCTATGCTTACCACCATAATGAATAGGCGAATTTGCATTTAGCCAGGCACAAACACCCAAGCTACATGTACACTTGGTTGATAAGGTGACCTAGGGACAAAGATGGCAGCGCAATGCAGCTGAGGGAGCAGGCTTTCATGCAACAGGACCTTGGTGCTGCTTGTATCAAGGCGGCTTCCATTTGACATTAGGGGAATCAACTTCAACGTTTTTACTTGGGAGCGGACCTGAAAGAACCATAGGGCAACACAGCAATGCATACATGCATATAGAAACATTGAGGGAAACAGACCACAACTGTAGACAACGACGGATGCAAATTGCATGATCATGAGGCCATCTTTTAAGCTGGGCCTTGGTGCGAGATCTGCGGCCTACTGCAAGCATGTGCTTCGTTATAAACACATTCGTTACAAGCAACCTCCTCACCTCATCCTGTGTTGAGCAGTGGCTATCTCATGCACTTCGCCTTGGTGCAGTCGTGGGTGCCCAGCCTCAATTTATGCACTAACTCTCGTTACAGTCACGCCTACATTGACAAGTCTCACCTCATCTTGCGGAGAGCAGTCTGCATCTCCTCGCGTTTCACCTTGGCGCGGAGGTGGGTGCCCAGCTTCTTTTCTAATACACTCGTTACACTCACGCCTAAACTCGCGCTTCGTTACAAGAACAATCATTGGAGAGTCTCACCTCATCTTGCGGAGAGCAGTCTGCATCTCCTCGCGCTTCACCTTGGCGCGGCGGTGGGTGCCCAGCTTCCGCTTCGCCAGCTTCAGCGCGCGCTTGTCCTTGCCGACCTGTGTTGGGGGGGAGCAGGGGGTGGGGGGTGGGGGCGGGAAAGGGGAGTGAGCGCAGGGGGGGGCGTTTATAATCGACTCAAGAGTCACCTAGGCGCGGCGGTGGGTGACCAGCTTCCGCTTCGCCAGCTTCAGTGCGCGCTTGTCCTTGCCAACCTGTGTTGGGGGGGAGCGCGGCGGGAAGGGGGAGGGGAAGTGGGCGTAGGAGGGGGGGGGGGGGGAGGGGAGAGAGGAAAGAGGGGAAGGGGCGGAGTGGGAGGGGGGGAGGAAGAGGGGGGGAGGAAGAGGGGGCGGGGGGGAGGGGCTGGGGGGGGAGAGAGTGGAGGAGGGGAGGGGTATGGAGAGGGAGCGGAGGGAGTGGGAAGGAGAGGGAGTCGGCGGAGGAACGAGAAGAGTGATAGGGGAAGGTTGGGTGAGGGGGAAGAAGATGAAGGGGCATACACGGGTAAAAAAAAAAGGTATACGGGGGACAACTTGACGGGCGGCCAGGCTCCGCTAGAATGAATATCGGCGCAATTGTGCTTTCTGACTAGTGGAAAAAGCACGGGTAAGACGAGTGACTGCGCGGAGAGCAGGAGGGAACGCGGAATCACAGGAAATGTGACTCGCAACCAGAGATGAGCATTGCCCCGGTTGCGCTTGCACTACACCCTCGGAACCCAAGTGGTATGATCGACCAAGCGACGCTGAACGGCGAAAGACGATTCTCGGCGACGTTGGGCGACGAGGAGGCGACGAGAAGTCATAGATTCGGAAAGAAATTACGCCCGAATGGATGTCTGGACGGCTCCTACAGGAGGACGGTGCCTGGTAACAATGTGGTTTCAGAGAAAGAAGTCTATCGGGCACGTTCGACTGATTAGGCTACGCAAAGAACGGCTTTCGACGGCCAAACTGCACGTGGTGTAGATAGTCCGGCTTCCGTCATTACACATGCCTTCCGGCTTCCGGCTTCCGGCTTCCCTGAATTTACACATGCCTGCTTGGCCGCCTGAAACTAACGACTTCGCAGTGATTCGGCTTCGGCTTATCACCAACTAAACCTAACGAGTTGGGCCTACGTTTTCCACGAACTCCTGCAGCGAAACTTATCATCAATCCAGGTGCCGACGACGATCCCGGAAACTGAGAGACATGACCGCAGAAAGGGAGTCCACGAAACCTGAGATCGCCGCGACAGCTGCGTCAAATCGCGTCACCGGTTTACGCTCCGTTGATACACTACTCCAGACACCTAATTCAACCGCTCCCGACCCCGCAATACATCGCTCCTCCGACAGCCAATCCGGTTCCCGAGCTACTGCCGACGGCTACACTGTCGAATCGGACCCCATGTTCAAAAGGATTCAAATGGATACAGAAATGCCCAAGCTGCAATGGTACAACAACGCTGCTCAGGTGCAAAAATACCTGATACTAAATGTTCAGGGTAATAAGTTATCAATATAGCCATACCTTGAGCAGCTCCATGATCCGCTTCTCATAGGGAGAGAAGCCCGCGACCTCGCGAATCAGACCGCGGACGAACGTTCCGCGCTTCGACTGCAAACAAAACCCGCGCGAAACAAGGGGAAGACACCAATACGATTACGGTCCGACGTACTGCCAGCAGCACTAGGAGATCCGTTCGGCGTGCGGCCTTCAGCTGTAAAATAAACCCCATGTCCGTCCAACGTGCTACAACGTTCGAAAAACTTAGCGGAATTGCTGAAAATCGTCTCACGAAACACCAGATTGGAGCTGCTGGGATTAACCTACCGCCCGTGTCTTGGGCTTCGAGATCTCCCTCTTGGTCACGATGTGACCCTTGTTGAGGCCTACTGCGATTCCAGTCATGGTGGCCGCGGAAAAGGGAAGTAGGACGAACTAAGGACGTTGCCACGAAGGGTTGGGAAAAGGAGGCTGGGAATGAGGGAGAAACCCTAAAGAGCTTCTTGCAGAGGAGTTAGCTGCAAAGAGGAGGAGAAACGAGTGGAGTGGCGTGTACAATATTCGTTAGATGTGTACACAAGAACAGTCACACCGAAAGACGGAAGGGTTTGTTATATCGAGGATGAAGGTGCAGGGTGGTCGAACCGTGTGCTAGGTAGCGGAGTCGTGTTTTGGGGCTTTGTGGTTCCCCTGGACAGGGGTTGGAAGCAGCCAACCGCTTGTGTAAACCCGTTTATTGTTTGTATGTACTTTAAAATAATTCGAACATCGCGATGCAGTACACTCCGCAATTTGGATTACGTCACACAGTTCTGGCGATTTATTTCATGGCTGATAGCAAAGCGACAAACACAAAGAGACAAACACAACGCGGCGCGAAATGTCACACACAGTGAGGAAGCAGCACAGCACAGCAAGAAGCGGAGAATCTCGAGTCGCGACTGTCCTTTCACACATCCCCCAAGCCATCTCCCTCCAAACCACCGCCATGTGTAGGTTCCTTCCTCCGAAGCTATCGAGTCGCGGTATGGACGGTGGCTTGGGGTGGGGGAACAGAGAAGCCAGCTGCTCAAGAACGGTACATATTCGGCGCCCTCTCCTCATAACCGACCATCGAACTCACTCAATCCAAACATTTCTCTGAACCAGCAACCAGCATTCAACGATACTTCCGTCTACCTATTCAAGCTCAAGACCATTCAAAATTATTTCAAGCCTGCGTCATTCGAAATTTAGCATAATCACCTCGACTTCTTTCTCCAACGACCTGACTATCTTTCTTACGCTCAACTCGAAGTTCTTATAGCTAGCACCGCAGTTTCCGCAGTAGAACCTAGAAGGAGTATGGCTAGCAAGTCGAAGATCGAGCTTACACCATCCAGCGAGCTCTCTAGCAGATACACGCTCAAGGAGTTTCTAGGCGAGGGTCAGTACGGTACAGTGTGGCGTTGTGAGAAGCGCGCGACGGGCGAGCATTTCGCGCTCAAGTACATCGATCTCACCAAGTGCAGCAGCAGGGCCCGCCTCGCAGCTCTCGGCGAAGTTGAAATCCTCCAAAAGATACGCGATTCTGGCTTCTCCGATAGTGTCGTAACTCTAAAGGACGTGTACGGGGACAAAGATTCTCTTTATCTTGTAATGGAGTTGTGCACTGGCGGAGATCTTCTCGAGCTCATCCAGAAGCGGCCCAGCGCGTTTCTTAGCGAGGCGGAATCGCGCCACGTGTTCATGTCTGTAGCGCGCGCCGTGAAGCAGTGCCACGCCAGCAGCATCGTCCACCGCGACATCAAACCCGAAAACATTCTCCTCTGCCCGATTTCAAACAGCGTCCCCGCCGCCGCCGCCGCCGCCGCCGCCGCCGCCGCCGCTGATAACGGCGCGTCGTTCCCTTACACCGCGAAACTCGCGGATTTCGGGCTCGCTGTGGACGTGCCGTGGTGGCAGCAGATTCGCGGGTATGCCGGCAGCAAGCCGTATGAGGCTCCCGAGGTCATGGCGGGGGTTGCGTACGACGAGTCCGCGGATATCTGGAGCCTCGGAGTGACTCTCTACGCGATGCTTTCGGGAAAGTGGCCGCTATTTAGGGGCGGGAAGCGGGTCCTGGATGAGAAGGTGGATTTCGCATCGAACGACTGGAAGAAGGTGTCGGGCGACGCGAAAGATCTCATCCGTCGGATGCTGCGCGTGGATGTGAACGAACGGTTCACAATTGACGAGGTTCTGGCGCATCCGTGGGTACGTCCGACAGTAGCGGCAGCGGCTCAGGAAGCGATGGAGTCCGTCGATCTGTCGGAGAAACGAACGACTGCTGTTGTTTCGCGAACCGACGCTCATATCTCCTCGGGAATTGCCGAAGCCGATTCCGAAAGCACCGCTACCAGCGCCGCGTTATTCGCGTCTGAATCCTCCAAAGCCAGTGCCGCCAAGACACACGCCACCACCCACGTCCGCGATACAAAGCGATCCGACACGGGGGGAAGCATGCCTTTGGCGAGTGCAACCAACAGCACCGACAGTGACTGTGAGAGCAACGGGGAGAAGCCGCGCCGGGGCGGAAAGCTATCTCCGCGCACCGTTCTGAACCGCGTCATGAAGGCCTTCTCCCCTCTCACGCGCCAGAGGGGGGCGTCGTGCATCCCCATCGAAGTTCTCTAAGCATCTTCGCTAATAGATGAGTAGTCGGGAACCGACCCTCTTTCTTTGGTTTAGACTGATTCCTCTGCTTCTAGGGCAACAGGAAGAGTTGCTGTGGTGCCCGGAGATCCTAGGGTACGATCCCGAGCACCCTAGCAACTCATTCCTTGCATTGTAATTTGTATAGTCGATTTCCTTTGCAAAAAATATCACTGTTTGCAGAATGCAAGTTTGGACTCGAAGTCATATCTTTCTTGGGAGGAGCGAGCTACATACCCAATTATCCTTTTCACCCCCATCGCATGCAAGCACTTGTGGAATCCGAGCAACGAGACGATGGTGTTTCAGGTCGGTGGCTTGGAAATTCGAGCCCTGTGCCCATTTCATGCAAGCAGCCTCTGGGGAACGATGGGATGGGATGTTGCTCATGCCTCATAGTCTCGGCCACTTGAAGCTAAGTGTTTACGGTTTAGCACACACCATGCTCCCAAGTAATCTGGCGGTCAATCACCAGCTTATCAATTGTGGAATTATATGCTACATGCTATTTTTGACAGATGCCTACACCGCTTCATGTTGGAAACGTCACTCCCCTCCCAGAAAGGGTCCTAAGCAAATCATCGTAAAGCATCACCATACGTTAGCAGATTATACAATAAGCTGCTGCAGCTGCATTCAGTGTGAGGCCTAAATAGTTTTCCTAGTAACATGCTGCCACGTCAGCGTCCTCATTTTACAAGTTGATTTTAGTCCGGTATACGTTACTCGCCGTCCAATACGGGGGAATCGCATTTCGCACTATAACGGGTTTCGGTTCCGCGCGAGGCCAGATGCGAAAAGACAGCGGTTTGCCGGTTAACGGTTGGCCGACAAGTTCAAACACCGTGCCGAAGCTTCGCTTCATCATGAACCACGGCCCTCCGCCAACCGACAGATCCATCCGCTTGATGTCCCCCGATCCGCCCACATTGAGCGGAAGAACTGGCGGAAGGGGAAAGCACCGGGGGAAGAAGGAGCGTGCATACATGAGTGTGAGGAGAGAGGAGAAGTACGAGACCCGCCCAAGAGTGTGGAAGAGCTGGCGGAGGGGGGGATGTTCAGGGGAGAAAGGGGAAAGGATCCGGGAGCTGGAATGCAGGGGGAAAATGAACTGTGGGCGGTAAAGGGGAGGAAATTGGGGGGCTCAGCAAAATGTACCCTTTCAAGGAAGAGCTGGGGAAGGGGGGGCAACCATTCCATCTCACGTTCATGCATGAGACGCATTAATTGTTGCCACAATAAGGAATAAGGGAACGCTGAACTTTCACGCCACATTATCGTCCCATATTCGTAACTGAAATGTAGTAACCAGGGATCAGCGCCGCATCATCATATTCGTACCTGAGATATAAAACCCATCGCCGGCAACGTTGAACATAACGCCACCGCCGCTCGGACATCGAAGGTTACACTCCGAGTCGTACATTACCCATCAATTGTAACAATGACGACTCACTACACTCGTACCTGAGATATAAAACCCATCGCCGGTGACGTTGAACATAACGCCACCGCCGGTCGGACATCGAACGCGCGACACCTCCACCGGTACCACCCCCACTGACGGATTCCGCGCGATTTGCGCCCACACGTCGCTTGATAAAGTCACACTTAGCTTCCCGCCGTCGCACCACCCGCCATACGACGCCGCGGGGCAGAGGTTTGTGATTTTAACGGTGGGAGAGACCGTTCCAGGTATGCATTGCGGGCTGTTGACGCAGCGCACTCGTATGCACGCGCCGCAAGCTTGGCCTCGCGCGTAGATTGGTGCGGAAATCGACGCGGTATAGCCTGGCGCGATACCGTATCCGCAGGAGCCGTACTGACTGTTCTGATTGGCGTAGTAGGTAGCTGTGAAGCCTTTAACCCACTTGTTGTATTGCGCGGAAGCCACTAACGCGAACGAGAGAAGGCAGAGAGAGATTAGGAGAGAGTACCTTCTTGACACGTCCATGTTTTCTAAGTATGAGGAGTTTGATCACGTAAAACGATAATAAGTAAAATGCACCCGATGGGAAGCGAGTGAATGTACTAAATTTACGCAGACGAAATGCTGACTCTCGAGCTCTCTTCAAGGGGTGGGAACTCGCACCAATATGAATAGCAGCCTGACTGCGCGAAGCCGCCCGCTTTGAAGAGCATACTGTATTTTTTTCCGAGTGGTGGAATGGAGTCGCCGCGGCGGTTTTGGCGCGTCTGTTGCCGTGCTGCTGAGCCACATCACGTCACATACAGAAAAGCTGAAAAGGGGAAGCTGAGCTGTGTGTGCATGCACTTGCGCGATAGTGGCTGGGGAAAGTTGGGTGCGAAAGCAGGCAGTAGGCATGACATATGTGGAATGCACGCGCGCGAATATTTGTCGTGCCACGAATCCAATCCCTCGCCGACGGTCTCTGTGTGCACCTCCGCACGAAATTGGAGAAATGCGACTCGAAGTGTGCAATGTGGATGTGTATGGTGCTGATTTTTCGATTTCGTTTGTGAACAACTCGGGACCGTTAAAAATGACGGTGAAAGCACTAACATTTTATGAATAAATAACTTTCATATTCACAGTTAGACATATCGACTCATCTACTACTGTTACTCATGCACATGATTCAATGATTGATTCTATGGAGTGCTCCCAAGTGTTAGCATAGGCAACGTGCACTACTTTTTACATTGTCAGCATATATCATCACAACACAACACAAATTCACACAACTAACAATGTTAATTGCACATCATTGAGCAAATAGTGAGGAGGTTAGGGGCCCTTGAGCTGTCACCTAACACAACACACAGCCACAAACGATCAGGCAGGCCCCTTATGGCACCCAACTCCTCCATGTCCCAAGCACATGCACCTTTTCTGAGAACAGATATCGTCTCGACGCCCAATTCATGCCACGGAGGGGGACAACTGCATATTCCATATGGTAAGGGTCTTGTTCCCGAAACCTTCCAAGCAGGATCTCCCCTTCGGATCTCCCCTTAGGATCTCCCATTCAGATCTTCCCTTCAGATCTCCCCTTCAGATCTCCCCTTCAGATCTCCCCTTCGGATCTCCCCTTCAGATCTCCCCTTCAGATCTCCCCTTCAAATCTCCCCTTCGGATCTCCCCTTCAGATCTCCCCTTCAGATCTCCCCTTCGGATCTCCCCTTCGGATCTCCCCTTCAGATCTCCCCTTCAGATCTCCCCTTCGGCTCTCCCCTTCGGATCTCCCCTTCGGATCTCCCCTTCGGATCTCCCCTTCGAATCTCCCCTTCGAATCTCCCCTCCAGATCTCCCCTTCAGATCTCCCCTTCAGATCTCCCCTTCAGATCTCCCCTTCAGATCTCCCCTTCAGATCTCCCCTTCAGATCTCCCCTTCGGATCTCCCCTTCGGATCTCCCCTTCAGATCCCCCCTTAAGATCTCCCCTTCAACAAGACTCCTTTCAGGATCTTCCATCCAAAGCCTTCCGTTCAGGGTAATCAACCCAGAACTTTCCATTATACTCCTCTTCAATTCAGGGTGTTCTCATCAATACCCCGATCGCGGCTGGTTTCGCATCTCCCCAGACCCGCCCTTCCCCGAGCCAGGGGACGAGCCATATGGGGTGGGCGGCACCGGTGGGCGAATTCCGTACGGAGTGGTCATGCCGCCGCCCATCCCGCCGCCCATTCCGCCGCCCATCCCGCCGCCCATCCCCCCGCCCATTGCCCCGCCCATTCCCCCGGCCATTCCCATCCCGCCGCCTGCTGCTGCTCCTGCTCCCGTCGATGCATTGGGATTGGGGGGGGACATTGGGCTGCTGTAGCTTGAAAACTGCTGGTGGAGGGGAGGGAGGAGAAGGGGAAAGGGGAATGGGGTAGGCAAAAGGGAGAGAAGGGATGAGAAGGAAACACACAGAAAACACTACCTGGTTGCGCTGAGATTCTTCGTCTAGAAACCCACCCAACAGGTCCGAAATCCTAGACGACTTTTGATTTTGAGACATCTCAAAAAAGGGAAAAAACCTGCTTAACTGGGATGCGCTGCCTAGCTGGTTGAATTGCGACTGGGGATGATGGGCGTGCATTCCCCATAGAAGCAGTTACTTGGTTGTTAAGTTGAGAGCTGTAGTCATCCCCGAATAGGTAAAAACTGCTGTAACGACAGGTACTTGACTGATTGAATGACTAAACCACTAAGCTAAACACGTTACCTGGTTCAGTTGGGACCCATAGTCCATGTACCCTCTGCTAACCCCCTGGTAGGGCATCCTCAAATAGGCACCAGAGTAGCACAGGCCAATACCCGAATCACAGAGCACGTTACCTGGTTCAGTTGGGAGCCATAGTCCATGTAACCTCCGCTAACCCCCTGGTAGGGCATTCCGAAATAGCCAAAGGCTGCTGTGACAACCATTACTTGACTGGCTGAATGACCAAACGACTAAACAATACCTGGTTGAGTTGGGACCCATAGTCCATGTACCCTCCGCTAACCCCCTGGTAGGGCATCCCATCCCCGAATAAGTGCAGGCTGCTGTGACGACCATTACTTGACTGAATGACCAAATGACTAAACACGTTACCTGGTTGAGCTGAGAGCCATAGTCCATGTACCCTCCACTAACCCCCTGGTAGGGCATCCCAGAATAGCCGCTTCCTGTAAAAGGCAAGAGATGGTGGGGTGGGGAGGGGAGAAAGGAACGGAGGGAAGGAAAAGTGGAGATCAGTTTGGCACAGCCTACAGCCAGCAGTAGAAGGAGCTTTTGAGGCAAGGTAGAAAATGCGTTTTTTTTTTTGTTTTTTTTTTTTGGGGGGGGGGGGGGGGGGTTGGGTGGGTTTTGGAGAATTTTGAGGAAACAGACGTGGGAGAAATACAGGCGGCGCGTCACAGGATTTGGAAGCAGAAACCTTCCAGGTGCCCAGGTTCGGCCCTCAGCCCTCCTCAGGCCTCTAGTAGGAGGCCAAACCTCTCCAACATCGTGACTTTTGAGTCGACTCAAAAGTCCCCTCCAGTGCCCAGGTTCGGCCCTCTCCTCAGTCCTCTAGTTGGAGGCGAAACCTCTCCAACATCACTGCTTTGCCGTGGTTTGAGATGTCTCAAAAGCCAACAGCTTGCTTCAAGCGCTCCTCCTGGCATTTACCTTCACCCAGGCCCGGATTTGGGAATTCTCAAAAGTGACTCGAATATGCCACCGCCCATGCGGGATCTGAGAATTCTCAAAAGTGACTCAACACTCCTGCCTGATAATCCGGTTTTGAAAAGTCTCAAAACTCGGTGGTCAAACAGAGTCGGGTTCTGCATTGTTCGAGTCTTATGCATGCAACCCCTACTAGTATGTCCTGAACATAATTTCACTGAAACTCTACTTTTCTCAAAGAATCTAAGAAGCTACATACATGATGTGAAGTGGGGTGACTTTTGAGGCGCCTCAAAAGTCGTCTTTTGAAGCACCTCGAAAGCTAACAAGCTACATGATGTGAAGTGCGAGAGCAAGAAAAGCTTATGCGTACAAGAGAAGCGACCCTAGCGGTAGCGCAACCCTGAGACCAAGAGGGAGGTTGATGGATATTAAGAAGAGAGGAGATTCAGAGGCGGCAAGAGGTGTGAAAATTGATGAGGAGTGCCAGCTGGCATGTTGGGCGGCAACACTGCTGACTCGTCAGAGGCGGCAAGTAGGATGATCTGATCTTAGAATGATTCTCACCGCACTGCACTCCCTCTCACCGTGCTGCACCCATCTCCCGTCAACCACTCCATTCCCTCCCACCACATTCGCAACCAGTGCCAATCCAACCAACGATCCTCACTCACCTGTCTGACTGCCTTCTGCCTCCTCAGGGTAAAAGAAAAGCTATTCGGGGGTAGCTTTTGAGTCGACTCAAAAGTCCCACCACATTCGCAACCAGTGCCAATCCAACCAATGATTCTCACTCACCTGTCTGCCTGCTGCCTCCTCAGGGTAAAAGAAAAACTATTCGGGGGTAGAGGGAGTGAACGACAGAAAGAGAGGAACACGAGAAGGCCCCAGCCCGTCCAGTCAAGTAGTGAACAAGATTACCTGTCGGCTGCACCGTTGTTGAACTCACTCACTGTAAGGTCAAGAAAACGACCACTGTCTCCTGTCTGTTCCAGCAACCACTAGAGCGCAGAGAGTGGACGCAAGAAGACAATGCAAGAGTCAGGAGAAGCGCCAGAAACTCTGGAGAGGTGTGCCAGCTGGCATGTTGGGCGGCGGCAATGAATCACTAAGCTAAGCAATGAATCTCACTCGCTCACCTGCCCGCCTGCTGCAGCTTGCACACTTCTTAGGTTTCAGTAAAAAAGGAGGACAACTAGAGGGTATTGCGACTGGAAAGGCTGAAAGAGACCCATAAAGGTTTCTGGTTTAAGCTGAGAGAGAAACATATCATCCCAAAGGCGCGGTTGGCCAGAGAACCTCGAGGGAAGTGCAAGCTGGCATGTTGGGCGGCTGTTGAGTCATCATGGGCGGGATGTTGGCGATTTTGGCTTTAAGGCGCTCCACGTCCCGAGCAGAGGCGATTAGGTTCTTCTCCATGGCACCCCGCTGCTCCACCAACTGTAACCGCACTGCATCCCCTCTTACTGTACTGCACTCTCTCTCCTCTCATAATCACTACCTTGGCTCATCATGGGTGGCAGGTTGGCGATCTGCGCCTTCAGACGCTCCACGTCGCGAGCAGAGGCAATGAGGTTTTTCTCCATGGCTCCCCGCTGCTCCACGAGATCCATGTTGGCCTTCTTCTCATACTCCACTGCCTGCCTGCTCCCACCGGGGTCAAGTCACGATTGCATGCATGGGTTGGGGTCAAGTGGAAAGGGATCGGGCACACCAAACAACGCTGCCTAGCCTAGCCTACAGCCGATTATCAACCCGCTGCTCCACCAGATCCATGTAGGCCTTCTTCTCATACTCCACTGCTTGCCTATAATATGACATGAGATCAAGATGGTATGGTGCAGTACGGTGCAGTATGGTATGAGATGGGTCACACACTAGCCTACAATCAGTCATCAACCCGCTGCTCCACCAGATCCATGTTGGCTTTCTTCTCATACTCCACCGCTTGCCTACGGATGAGGAGAACAAGATGGTATGGTGCAGTACGGTATGGATGGCATGGTATGAGATGGGACGCACGAACCAATTCTGTCTAGCCTATAATTGACCATCAACCCTCTGCTCTGCTCCACCAGATCCATGTAGGCCTTCTTCTCATACTCCACTGCTTGGTGCAATGGGATGCATGGTGCAATGGGATGCATGGTGCAATGGGATGCATGGTGCAATGGGATGCATGGTGCAATGGGATGCATGGTGCAATGGGATGCATGGTGCAATGGGATGCATGGTGCAATGGGATGCATGGTGCAATGGGATGCATGGTGCAATGGGATGCATGGTGCAATGGGATGCATGGTGCAATGGGATGCATGGTGCAATGGGATGCATGGTGCAATGGGATGCATGGTGCAATGGGATGCATGGTGCAATGGGATGCATGGTGCAATGGGATGCATGGTGCAATGGGATGCATGGTGCAATGGGATGCATGGTGCAATGGGATGCATGGTGCAATGGGATGCATGGTGCAATGGGATGCATGGTGCAATGGGATGCATGGTGCAATGGGATGCATGGTGCAATGGGATGCATGGTGCAATGGGATGCATGGTGCAATGGGATGCATGGTGCAATGGGATGCATGGTGCAATGGGATGCATGGTGCAATGGGATGCATGGTGCAATGGGATGCATGGTGCAATGGGATGCATGGTGCAATGGGATGCATGGTGCAATGGATGCATGGTGCAATGGGATGCATGGTGCAATGGGATGCATTGGTGCAATGGGATGCATGTGCAATGGGATGCATGGTGCAATGGGATGCATGGTGCAATGGGATGCATGGTGCAATGGGATGCATGGTGCAATGGGATGCATGGTGCAATGGGATGCATGTGCAATGGGATGCATGGTGCAATGGGATGCATGGTGCAATGGGATGCATGGTGCAATGGGATGCATGGTGCAATGGGATGCAGGTGCAATGGATGCAGGTGCCAATGGGATGCATGGTGCAATGGGATGCATGGTGCAATGGGATGCATGGTGCAATGGGATGCATGGTGCAATGGGATGCATGGTGCAATGGGATGCATGGTGCAATGGGATGCATGGTGCAATGGGATGCATGGTGCAATGGGATGCATGGTGCAATGGGATGCATGGTGCAATGGGATGCATGGTGCAATGGGAGCATGGTGCAATGGGATGCATGGTGCAATGGGATGCAGGTGCAATGGGATGCATGGTGCAATGGGATGCATGGTGCAATGGGATGCATGGTGCAATGGGATGCATGGTGCAATGGGATGCATGGTGCAATGGGATGCATGGTGCAATGGGATGCATGGTGCAATGGGATGCATGGTGCAATGGGATGCATGGTGCAATGGGATGCATGGTGCAATGGGATGCATGGTGCAATGGGATGCATGGTGCAATGGGATGCATGGTGCAATGGGATGCATGGTGCAATGGGATGCATGGTGCAATGGATGCATGGTGCAATGGGATGCATGGTGCAATGGGATGCATGGTGCAATGGGATGCATGGTGCAATGGGATGCATGGTGCAATGGGATGCATGGTGCAATGGGATGCATGGTGCAATGGGATGCATGGTGCAATGGGATGCATGGTGCAATGGGATGCATGGTGCAATGGGATGCATGGTGCAATGGGATGCATGGTGCAATGGGATGCATGGTGCAATGGGATGCATGGTGCAATGGGATGCATGGTGCAATGGGATGCATGGTGCAATGGGATGCATGGTGCAATGGGATGCATGGTGCAATGGGATGCATGGTGCAATGGGATGCATGGTGCAATGGGGCATGGTGCATGGTGCAATGGGATGCATGGTGCAATGGGATGCATGGTGCAATGGGATGCATGGTGCAATGGGATGCATGGTGCAATGGGATGCATGGTGCAATGGGATGCATGGTGCAATGGGATGCATGGTGCAATGGGATGCATGGTGCAATGGGATGCATGGTGCAATGGATGCATGGTGCAATGGGATGCATGGTGCAATGGGATGCATGGTGCAATGGATGCATGGTGCAATGGGATGCATGGTGCAATGGGATGCATGGTGCAATGGATGCATGTGCATGATCATGGTGCAATGGGATGCATGGTTGCAATGGGATGCATGGTGCAATGGGATGCATGGTGCAATGGGATGCATGGTGCAATGGGATGCATGGTGCAATGGGATGCATGGTGCAATGGGATGCATGGTGCAATGGGATGCATGGTGCAATGGGATTGCATGGTGCAATGGGATGCATGGTGCAATGGGATGCATGTGCATGGGATGCATGGTGCAATGGGATGCATGGTGCAATGGGATGCATGGTGCAATGGGATGCATGGTGCAATGGGATGCATGGTGCAATGGGATGCATGGTGCAATGGGATGCATGGTGCAATGGGATGCATGGTGCAATGGGATGCATGGTGCAATGGGATGCATGGTGCAATGGGATGCATGGTGCAATGGGATGCATGGTGCAATGGGATGCATGGTGCAATGGGATGCATGGTGCAATGGATGCATGGTGCAATGGGATGCATGGTGCAATGGGATGCATGGTGCAATGGGATGCATGGTGCAATGGGATGCATGGTGCAATGGGATGCATGGTGCAATGGGATGCATGGTGCAATGGGATGCATGGTGCAATGGGATGCATGGTGCAATGGGATGCATGGTGCAATGGGATGCATGGTGCAATGGGATGCATGGTGCAATGGGATGCATGGTGCAATGGATGCATGGTGCAATGGGATGCATGGTGCAATGGGATGCATGGTGCAATGGGATGCATGGTGCAATGGGATGCATGGTGCAATGGGATGCATGGTGCAATGGGATGGTGCAATGGGATGCATGGTGCAATGGGATGCATGGTGCAATGGGATGCATGGTGCAATGGGATGCATGGTGCAATGGGATGCATGGTGCAATGGGATGCATGGTGCAATGGGATGCATGGTGCAATGGGATGCATGGTGCAATGGGATGCATGGTGCAATGGGATGCATGGTGCAATGGGATGCATGGTGCAATGGGATGCATGGTGCAATGGGATGCATGGTGCAATGGGATGCATGGTGCAATGGGATGCATGGTGCAATGGGATGCATGGTGCAATGGGATGCATGGTGCAATGGGATGCATGGTGCAATGGGATGCATGGTGCAATGGGATGCATGGTGCAATGGGATGCATGGTGCAATGGGATGCATGGTGCAATGGGATGCATGGTGCAATGGGATGCATGGTGCAATGGGATGCATGGTGCAATGGGATGCATGGTGCAATGGGATGCATGGTGCAATGGGATGCATGGTGCAATGGGATGCATGGTGCAATGGGATGCATGGTGCAATGGGATGCATGGTGCATGGTGCAATGGGATGCATGGTGCAATGGGATGCATGGTGCAATGGGATGCATGGTGCAATGGGATGCATGGTGCAATGGGATGCATGGTGCAATGGGATGCATGGTGCAATGGGATGCATGGTGCAATGGGATGCATGGTGCAATGGGATGCATGGTGCAATGGGATGCATGGTGCAATGGGATGCATGGTGCAATGGGATGCATGGTGCAATGGGATGCATGGTGCAATGGGATGCATGGTGCAATGGGATGCATGGTGCAATGGGATGCATGGTGCAATGGGATGCATGGTGCAATGGGATGCATGGTGCAATGGGATGCATGGTGCAATGGGATGCATGGTGCAATGGGATGCATGGTGCAATGGGATGCATGGTGCAATGGGATGCATGGTGCAATGGGATGCATGGTGCAATGGGATGCATGGTGCAATGGGATGCATGGTGCAATGGGATGCATGGTGCAATGGGATGCATGGTGCAATGGGATGCATGGTGCAATGGGATGCATGGTGGCAATGGGATGCATGGTGCAATGGATGAATGCATGTGCAATGGGATGCATGGTGCAAGGGATGCATGGTGCAATGGGGATGCATGGTGCAATGGGATGCATGGTGCAATGGGATGCATGGTGAATGGTGCAATGGATGCATGGTGCAATGGGATGCATGGTGCAATGGGATGCATGGTGCAATGGGATGCATGGTGCAATGGGATGCATGGTGCAATGGGATGCATGGTGCAATGGGATGCATGGTGCAATGGGATGCATGGTGCAATGGGATGGCCATGGTGCAATGGGATGCATGGTGCAATGGGATGCATGGTGCAATGGGATGCATGGTGCAATGGGATGCATGGTGCAATGGGATGCATGGTGCAATGGGATGCATGGTGCAAGGAATGCAATGGTTGCAATGGGATGCATGGTGCAATGGGATGCATGGTGCAATGGGATGCATGGTGCAATGGGATGCATGGTTGCAATGGGATGCAAGTGCAATGGGAATGCATGTGCAAGGATATGGTGCAATGCATGGTGCAATGGGATGCATGGTGCAATGGGATGCATGGTGCAATGGGATGCATGGTGCAATGGGAGCATGGTGCATGGTGCAATGGGATGCATGGTGCAATGGGATGCATGGTGCAATGGGATGCATGGTGCAATGGGATGCATGGTGCAATGGGATGCATGGTGCAATGGGATGCATGGTGCAATGGGATGCATGGTGCAATGGGATGCATGGTGCAATGGGATGCATGGTGCAATGGGATGCATGGTGCAATGGGATGCATGGTGCAATGGGATGCATGGTGCAATGGGATGCATGGTGCAATGGGATGCATGGTGCAATGGGATGCATGGTGCAATGGGATGCATGGTGCAATGGGATGCATGGTGCAATGGGATGCATGGTGCAATGGGATGCATGGTGCAATGGGATGCATGGTGCAATGGGATGCATGGTGCAATGGGATGCATGGTGCAATGGGATGCATGGTGCAATGGGATGCATGGTGCAATGGGATGCATGGTGCAATGGGATGCATGGTGCAATGGGATGCATGGTGCAATGGGATGCATGGTGCAATGGGATGCATGGTGCAATGGGATGCATGGTGCAATGGGATGCATGGTGCAATGGGATGCATGGTGCAATGGGATGCATGGTGGGACACATGCGGAACGAATGCACTAAATTTTGAACTGACGTTCCACACGAAGCATGCGATGCATTCAAAAACTTGTAATGAACGGCGGCATGCATAGTGCAATGGGATGCATGGTGGGACGCATGCGGCGGCATGCATAGTGCAATGGGATGTACGGTGGGGCAGAATGCATGGAGCAGACGAATCATGAGGCGCCTCAAAACTCATCATGTGCCAAGCCAATTTTGAGAAGTAGCAGCATTGCAGCAAGTCAGCATCTCTGACGGAGCGAGCGAACACACCAACGCATCAATGCATGCTATGCTACTGCTGCCACTCTAGCAGTCACTAAACGGTGCATTTTGGTAGGCACGAGCAGGGCACCGAACCACGGTTCGGATTGGTGCAATTCGGTTCGGTTTTTGGCTTCCGGTTCGTCAACGAACCGAACCAGTTCGTTGGCCTAGAAATACTTGAGCCTTGAAATATCGCGTGTAAATGCCGCAGGCATTCAGCATGGCCGTGAATTACAATCTTGGTGGCATTGGGGCGGGTACGCGCCACACTCCAATAGCAATCACTTTCTAACTTGCTCAAGCAGTCTCTGTCGCACTGCTGCTGCCTTTCCAACCATGAGAGACGGTGATTACCCATGGCCACGAATCACAATCTTGGTCGCATCGCATGGATGTACGCTGCAATGCAAGGTTTCCCAAATCCGATCAGGCATTCCATTCCACGCCATGCTGCAAGGTTCCACATTTACCTATTGTGTCTTAAGATTATTCACACCATCGGGTGAGGGGGTTTAGGGTTACCAGTGAAGTGAGGTGTTTAGGGCTCACCTGGGGAGAGCAGGTTTCTGGGTAAGGGTGTCGAGCTCCTGCCTCAGATTCAATGAGGGGCGCCTAGAGTACAGTGAATAAGATTGTGTTACGGTGTACGGAGAAGTTTAAGGCTCACGGTGTAGGGGGTTTCAAGCTCACCTGGCGAGAGCAAGTTCCTGGGTGATTGAGTCGATCTCCTGCCTGAGCTTGGGCAGCAGCTGCATGTCTGCATGCATGCGGTTCAGGTCCTGGTTCATCTGCCCTATCTGCCCTCTCTAACCTATCTGCGCTCTCTAACCTATCTGCGCTCTCTGCTGCTCAGCCCTCACCTGGCAAGAGAAAGTTCTTGAGTGATTGCATCGATCTCCTGCCTCAGCTTGGGCAGCAGCTGCACGTCAGCATGCATGCGGTTCAGGTCCTGGTTCATCTGCCCTATCTGCGCCGCCTGCTGCTGAATCTTCGCCTGCTGCTGCTGCATCTGCTGCTGCGCCTGCTGCAGCTGCTGCTGCTGCTGCTGCGCCTGCTGGTGCTGCGCCATCCGCGCAGCTTCCTCTGCCTGCCTGCGTGACGTCAGCGCCTGGATCTCGCCTCGAGTGCCCTGAAGCTCCTGCCTTGCCGCTTGCAGCTCCTGCCTCAGTGTGTCTGCCGGACAATCAGACGGGAAACGCGAGAAGGAAACCCAAATGGGAAGGGGCCAAGGGGACGGAACGACAGAAAAAGAAAATCAGACGAGGTTGGATAAACACAAGTGAGCGCCTGGATCTCGCCCCTAGTGCCCTGAAGCTCCTGCCTTGCCGCCTGCAGCTCCTGCCTCAGTGTGTCTGGGGGGAAATCGGAAGGGAAAGAGACGGGGGAATCAAAGGAGAAGATAGAAGGACGGTTGAATGAGGTTAGATAACCACAAATGAGCGCCTGGATCTCGCCCCTCGTGCCCTGAAGCTCCTGCCTTGCCCCTTGCAATTCCTGCCTGGTACCTGCATACTTACACACTGCAGTTTGCCAAACACAAACACATCAACACACCAACTCTCCAACACACCTGCGCCTCTCAGGTCCGCTTCTAGCTTCGCCTTGGTATCCATCAGCCCTCTGACCACCTGATCCTTCTCCCCAACTGCGCCTTTCAGCCGTTGGATCTCCCCCTGAGCAGACGCCAGCTCCTGCCTGAGCGCCACGTGGGTCGCCGCCAGCCGTTGATTCTCCATCAGCAGCTGCTGAATGTCCCCCTGCTGGGCGGCAAGTTTGACCTCTAGCTGCTGCCCTGCGACGTTCTGGGCGGCAGGGGGTTGCGGTTGCGGAACAGGCATTCCCTGTGGGGGAGCGGGTCCCCGAACCAACACCTGGACCGGACCCGGACCTGCGAGTCCGGGTTGGAAGCCAGGTCCGGGAACGAACGGAGGTCCGGCCTGGTGAACGATAAACGGCGGCTGACCGGCGGGTCCTTGAAATTGAACGGGCATGGGAGCTTGGCCGGCTTGTCTGGCGTGATAGACGGTTCCGGGCGCGCCGGCCGGCAAGGTATGGCCGGCAGGATGCTGATGCTGCGGTGCGGTTTGGATTAGGCCGCGCTGCTGCTGCTGTTGCTGCTGCTGCTGCTGTATGTGGCTTGAAGGGGGGTCCTGACGGCTGCGACGCGAGTCTCGGGTCCTGAGCGCCATTTCGTTGATTTTCGCGAAAACGGGTTACAGAAACTTCAAGAGCTGAGGAGGGATACAGATGAGCCTGTGCAAGAAACAAGAAGGGAAAGGAACGCACGGGAATAAAATGAACGAGGATAAAAAATACGCTGAGTTAATGAACTATCGAAGATTTAAGAAGTTATGAATTAACGAAGGTAGAAATTCGCGAGGAAATAAAGCACGGAAGCGGAAGTTGCGCCCAAATGAAGAAACTTACCCTAGTTTTATCTCAAAGGTTCTCAACACTAAAATCCCTAAATTAATCGCAGACCTCAAATAGATGCTGCTAATGTTTGAAAAGATCTCCTACCGCGTCCAGATCAATCACTAACGAACGAGCTAACCAGAAACCGAAGAACACGCAAACTTTCTCGAGAATATTAAAGCTCGGCGATGTCACGATACGGCCGATGGAGCAGAACCAACGGCAAGATTTTTAGGACGTGCTACAACTTATCCGAGATTGTGCTCTGGGACTGCAGGCAGAAAAGGCTGGTGATAAAATGTTTTAGCAAGTGTAGCCAACCAGACTAAACTAAATAAAACTGTTCACATTCTTTCCAACCAGGAACCTCCATACTAATCTTTTGGGTAGAGTGAGGTGCACACATCAAGCCACTAGCAAGCACCTGTGGTTACAGCTCAAAATCACAACAATACGAACAAAAGAGTACAAACGAGCAATAGTTTCGGCGAGAGCCGAACGTTTGAGCTAGTTGACTATATGCTGGTTGATGGAAGGCTAACGTCCACACCACACACACCACATGCTAGGTTCGTCGGCGCGAGCAACGAAAGCTTGGAAGTTTGTGGGTGGAGCAGACCTGAGTTCTGGTGGAACGATGGGATGGGGATGTAAAGTCGTGGATAGAAGATGGGAGTGGGACGTGTAGAAAGGGCGTTGAGTGGCTCTTGAACCACCAGTGATACGTAGGAGTGGCTGTGAAGTCGAACCGTTGCTAACAAACTTGATCAACGGTTGAGATCATGATGCAGCTGAGCAACAGACCCGTCGCAGTCGCGGTTGACGCGAGATGGATTGGGATTGATGGATTCTCCCCGTCGTGTTGTGGGACGTCACAAACGGGATCGACGGTTGAGATGATGATGCAGCCAACAGGGATGCAGCATAATCCCGTTGCAGTTGCGGATGATGCGAGATGGATGGAGTTTGATGGTTTCCCCATTGTGGTCAACCCTGTTGGCTTGGCTGCTATTGCATACCGCGCAGTGCCCGAGGCAGCTATTTACCCGCACTATACCATCCCCCTCCCTTCCTTCCTCCCCTCCCCTCCTACCCTCCTCTCCTCCTCCCCTCCTTCCCTCCTCCCCTCCTCCCCTCCTCCTCTCCTCCCCTCCTCCCCTCCGCCCCTCCACATCCCCTCCACATCACTTTTATTGCACATAAGCCACTATAACAGTCACATCATCCCGCCTCCCCCCCTCATGATTCACCCCTGCTGCCTTGGCTGCTATAGCATACGGTGTGGGCTCTGCTGTGCTCTCCCCTGCTTTATGCGCCATCGACACGAGCTTGCGAGCAACGGACTGGGAAGGAGGAGAGGGAGACGGGGGAAGAGGCAGGAGAGGGGTTGTAGGGGTTGGAAAAGGAAGATGGAAGTCACATTGGCTGCTATAGCATACGGCGTGGGCTCTGCTGTGCACTCCCCTGCTTTATGTGCCATAGACACGAGCTTGCGAGCCACAGACTGGGGGGAGGGGAGGGCAAAGAGGTAGGGAAAGGGAAGTCACATTGGCAGCACACAGCACGCGCACGATGGTGTCGAGAAAGAGATTGTCAAACAGCCTACCACTGCTCGCGTGTACCCTCTCAGCCCTGCTCTCTGCTCTGCTCTCTGCTCTCTTGCCCTCCCCTCTCCCCTCTCCCCCTCTCACCTCGGGTCTCTTGCCCTCCCCCAGCGCAGCACACAGCACGCGCACGATGGTGTCGAGAAAGAGATTGTCAAACAGCCCGTTGGTGGCTAATAAAATGGCGTCGCCTGCTTGCACGGGAATGGTGTAATCCTGCTCACATGGAAGAGCAATTAAGAGAAGACAAGGGGGGAGAAACAAGAGAGGAGAAATCCCCATTGAACACACGATGGTGTGACAGGAGAAAGAGATTGTCAGACAGCCCGTTGATTGCTCGTAGGTTGGCGTCGAAGCCAGTAGATGTGAAGCCAGGACCGAGGCGAGCGCGCGCGGACCGAGGCGAGCGCGCGCGGACCCAGGCGCGCGCGCGCGAACCCAGGCGCGCGCGCGCGGACCCAGGCGCGCGCTCAGACACAGGCGCGCGCGCGCGACCAAGGCGCGTGCGCAGACCCAGGCGCGCGCGCGCGGACCAAGGCGCGCGCGCGCGCGGACCAAGGGGCGCGCGCGCGCGGACCAAGGGGCGCGCGCGCGGACCCAGGGGCGCACGCGCGGACCGAGGCGAGCGCGCGCGGACCAAGGCGCGCGCGCGCGGACCAAGGCGCGCCCGCGGACCAAGGCGCGCGCCCGCGGACCAAGGCGCGCGCGCGCGGACCAAGGCACGCGCGCGGACCAAGGCTCGCGCACGGACCAAGGCGCGCGCGCGCGGACCAAGGCGCACGCGCGCGGACCAAGGGGCGCGCGCGCGGACCAAGGGGCGCGCGCGCAGACCAAGGGGCGCGCGCGCGAGGACCAAGGGACGCGCGCGCGGACCAAGGCGCGCGCGCGGACCAAGGCGCGCGCGCGGACCAAGGCGCGCGCTCGGACCAAGGGACGCGCGCGCGGACCAAGGCGCGCGCGCGCGGACCAAGGCGCGCGCTCGGACCAAGGGACGCGCGCGCGGACCAAGGCGCGCACGCGCGGACCAAGGCGCGCGCGCGCGGACAAAGGCGCGCGCGCGCGGACCAAGGCGCGCGCTCGGACCAAGGGACGCGCGCGCGGACCAAGGCGCGCGCGCGCGGACCAAGGCGCGTGCGCGCGGACCAAGGCGCGAGCGCGCGGACCAAGGCGCGCGCGCGCGGACTCAGGCGCGCGCGCGCGGACCAAGGCGCGCGCGCGGACCAAGGCGCACGCGCGCGGACCAAGGCGCGCGCTCGGACCAAGGCGCGCGCGCGGACCAAGGCGCGCGCGCAGACCAAGGCGCGTGCGCGCGGACCCAGGGGCGCGCGCGGACCGAGGCGAGCGTGCGTGGACCCGAGGGCGCGCGCGCGGACCGAGGAGCGCGCGCGCGGACCCAGGAGCGCGCGCGTGGACCCAGGCGCGCGCGCGCGGACCCAGGCGCGCCCGCGGGCCCAGGCGCGCGCTCGGACCCAGGCGCGCGCGCGCGGACCAAGGCGCGCGCGCGCGGACCAAGGGGCGCGCGCGCGGATCAAGGCGCGCGCGCGCGGACCAAGGCGCGCGCGCGCGGACCAAGGCGCGCGCGCGCGGACCAAGGCGCGCGCGCTCGGACCAAGGCGTGCGCGCTCGGACAAAGGCACGCGCGCGCGGACCAAGGAGCGCGCGCGCGGACCAAGGGGCGCGCGCGCGGACCAAGGCGCGCGCGCGGATCAAGACGCTCGCGCGCGGACCAAGGCGCTCGCGCGGACCAAGGCGCTCGCGCGGACCAAGGGGCGCGCGCACGGACCAAGGCGCGCGCGCGCGGACCAAGGGGCGCGCGCGCGGACCAAGGGACGCGCGCGCGGACCAAGGCGCGCGCGCGCGCGGACCAAGGCGCGCGCGCGCGGACCAAGGCGCGCGTCCGCGGACCAAGGCGCGCGCCCGCGGGCCAAAGCGCGCGCGCGCGGACCTTGTCGCCCGCTTGGACCAAGGCGCGCGCTTGGACCAAGTCGCCTAGTTGGACCAAGTCACCTAGTTGGACCAAGTCGCCTAGTTGGACCAAGGTGCTCGCTTGGACCAAGTCGCTCGCTTGGACCAAGTCGCTAACTTGGACCAAGTCGCGCAGTTGGACCAAGTCGCTCACTTGCACCAAGTCGCGCGCTTGGACCAGGCCGTGCGCGCTTGGACCAGGCCGCGGGCGCTTGGACCAGGTCGCGCACGCTTGAACCTGGCCGCGGGCACTTGAACCAGGTCGCGCGCGCTTGGACCAGGTCGCGCGCTTGGACCAGGTCGCGCGCTTGGACCAAGTCGCTCTGGCAGAATATTGTGTTGAAGGCTCACGTTGGCGCAGTCAGGGCCGTCCCCTGCCTCGTGCCCGATCAAAAGGGGGTTGCCAAAGGGGTGCTCCATGCGCTCCACTATGCACGCTCACACTCAAGCTCACATCGCCTTGACAGAGCAAAAAGCTCAGGAGCGGGCACATGCACATGCCCATGCCCATGCCCATGCCCATGCCCATGCCCATGCCCATGCCCATGCCCATGCCCATGCACATGCACATGCCCATGCCCATGCCCATGCCCATGCCCATGCCCATGCCCATGCCCATGCCCATGCCCATGCCCATGCCCATGCCCATGCCCATGCCCATGCCCATGCCCATGCCCATGCCCATGCCCATGCCCATGCCCATGCCCATGCCCATGCCCATGCCCATGCCCATGCCCATGCCCATGCCCATGCCCATGCCCATGCCCATGCCCATGCCCATGCCCATGCCCATGCCCATGCCCATGCCCATGCCCATGCCCATGCCCATGCCCATGCCCATGCCCATGCCCATGCCCATGCCCATGCCCATGCCCATGCCCATGCCCATGCCCATGCCCATGCCCATGCCCATGCCCATGCCCATGCCCATGCCCATGCCCATGCCCATGCCCATGCCCATGCCCATGCCCATGCCCATGCCCATGCCATGCCCATGCCCATGCCCATGCCCATGCCCATGCCCATGCCCATGCCCATGCCCATGCCCATGCCCCATGCCCATGCCCATGCCCATGCCCATGCCCATGCCCATGCCCATGCCCATGCCCATGCCCATGCCCATGCCCATGCCCATGCCCATGCACATGCCCATGCCCATGCCCATGCCCATGCCCATGCCCATGCCCATGCCCATGCCCATGCCCATGCCCATGCCCATGCCCATGCCCATGCCCATGCCCATGCCCATGCCCATGCCCATGCCCATGCCCATGCCCATGCCCATGCCCATGCCCATGCCCATGCCCATGCCCATGCCCATGCCCATGCCCATGCCCATGCCCATGCACATGCCCATGCCCATGCCCATGCCCATGCCCATGCCCATGCACATGCCCATGCCCATGCCCATGCCCATGCACGTGCACGTGCCCGTGCCCGTGCCCGTGCCCGTGCCCGTGCCCGTGCCCGTGCCCATGCCCATGCCCATGCCCATGCCCATGCCCATGCCCATGCCCATGCCCATGCCCATGCCCATGCCCATGCCCATGCCCATGCCCATGCCCATGCCCATGCCCATGCCCATGCCCATGCCCATGCCCATGCCCATGCCCATGCCCATGCCCATGCCCATGCCCATGCCCATGCCCATGCCCATGCCCATGCCCATGCCCATGCCCATGCCCATGCCCATGCCCATGCCCATGCCCATGCCCATGCCCATGCCCATGCCCATGCCCATGCCCATGCCCATGCCCATGCCCATGCCCATGCCCATGCCCATGCCCATGCCCATGCCCATGCCCATGCCCATGCCCATGCCCATGCCCATGCCCATGCCCATGCCCATGCCCATGCCCATGCCCATGCCCATGCCCATGCCCATGCCCATGCCCATGCCCATGCCCATGCCCATGCCCATGCCCATGCCCATGCCCATGCCCATGCCCATGCCCATGCCCATGCCCATGCACGTGCACGTGCACGTGCACGTGCCCGTGCCCGTGCCCGTGCCCGTGCCCGTGCCCGGCTGCCCATGCCCATGCCCATGCCCATGCCCCATGCCCATGCCCATGCCCATGCCCATGCCCATGCCCATGCCCATGCCCATGCCCATTGCCCATGCCCATGCCCATGCCCATGCCCATGCCCATGCCCATGCCCATGCCCATGCCCATTGCCCATGCCCATGCCCATGCCCATGCCCATGCCCATGCCCATGCCCATGCCCGATGCCCATGCCCATGCCCATGCCCATGCCCATGCCCATGCCCATGCCCATGCCCATGCCATGCCATGCCCATGCCCATGCCCATGCCCATGCCCATGCCCATGCCCATGCCCATGCCCATGCCCATGCCCATGCCCATGCCCATGCCATGCCCATGCCCATGCCCATGCCCATGCCCATGCCCATGCCCATGCCCATGCCCATGCCCATGGCCCATGCCCATGCCCATGCCCATGCCCATGCCATGCCCATGCCGCCCATGCCCATGCCCATGCCCATGCCCATGCCCATGCCAGCCCATGCCCATGCCCATGCCCATGCCCATGCACATGCCCATGCCCATGCCCATGCCCATGCACATGCCCATGCCCATGCCCACTGCCCAGTGCCCGTGCCCAGTGCCCGTGCCCATGCCCATGCCCGTGCCCGTGCCCATGCCCATGCCCATGCCCATGCCCATGCCCATGCCCATGCCCATGCCCATGCCCATGCCCATGCCCATGCCATGCCCATGCCCATGCCCATGCCCATGCCCATGCCCATGCCCATGCCCATGCCCATGCCCATGCCATGCCCATGCCCATGCCCATGCCCATGCCCATGCCCATGCCCATGCCCATGCCCATGCCCATGCCCATGCCCATGCCCATGCCCATGCCCATGCCCATGCCCATGCCCATGCCCATGCCCATGCCCATGCCCCATGCCCATGCCCATGCCCATGCCCATGCCCATGCCCATGCCCATGCCCATGCCCATGCCCATGCCCATGCCCATGCCCATGCCCATGCCCATTGCCCATGCCCATGCCCATGCCCATGCCCATGCCCATGCCCAGCCCATGCCATGCCCATGCCCATGCCCATGCCCATGCCCATGCCCATGCCCATGCCATGCCCATGCCCATGCCCATGCCATGCCCATGCCCATGCCCATGCCCATGCCCATGCCCATGCCCATGCCCATGCCCATGCCCATGCCCATGCCCATGCCCATGCCCATGCCCATGCCCATGCCCATGCCCATGCCCATGCCCATGCCCATGCCCATGCCCATGCCCATGCCCATGCCCATGCCCATGCCCATGCCCATGCCATCCATGCCCATGCCCATGCCCATGCCCATGCCCATGCCCATGCCCATGCCCATGCCCATGCCCATGCCCATGCCCATGCCCATGCCCATGCCCATGCCCATGCCCATGCCCATGCACATGCACATGCACATGCCCATGCCCATGCCCATGCACATGCCCATGCACATGCCCATGCCCATGCCCATGCCCATGCCCATGCCCATGCACATGCACATGCCCATGCCCATGCCCATGCACATGCCCATGCCCATGCCCATGCCCATGCCCATGCCCATGCCCATGCACATGCACATGCCCATGCCCATGCCCATGCCCATGCCCATGCCCATGCCCATGCCCATGCCCATGCCCATGCCCATGCCCATGCCCATGCACATGCACATGCACATGCCCATGCCCATGCCCATGCCCATGCCCATGCCCATGCACATGCCCATGCCCATGCCCATGCACATGCACATGCACATGCACATGCCCATGCCCATGCCCATGCCCATGCCCATGCCCATGCCCATGCCCATGCCCATGCCCATGCCCATGCACATGCACATGCACATGCCCATGCCCATGCCCATGCCCATGCACATGCCCATGCCCATGCCCATGCCCATGCCCATGCCCATGCCCATGCACATGCCCATGCCCATGCCCATGCCCATGCACATGCACATGCACATGCACATGCACATGCACATGCACATGCACATGCACATGCACATGCACATGCCCATGCCCATGCACATACACATGCACATGCACATGCACATGCCCATGCCCATGCCCATGCCCATGCCCATGCCCATGCCCATGCCCATGCCCATGCCCATGCCCATGCCCATGCCCATGCCCATGCCCATGCCCATGCCCATGCCCATGCCCATGCCCATGCCCATGCCCATGCCCATGCCCATGCCCATGCCCATGCCCATGCCCATGCCCATGCCCATGCCCATGCCCATGCCCATGCCCATGCCCATGCCCATGCCCATGCCCATGCCCATGCCCATGCCCATGCCCATGCCCATGCCCATGCCCATGCCCATGCCCATGCCCATGCCCATGCCCATGCCCATGCCCATGCCCATGCCCATGCCCATGCCCATGCCCATGCCCATGCCCATGCCCATGCCCATGCCCATGCCCATGCCCATGCCCATGCCCATGCCCATGCCCATGCCCATGCCCATGCACATGCCCATGCCCATGCCCATGCCCATGCCCATGCCCATGCCCATGCCCATGCCCATGCCCATGCACATGCACATGCCCATGCCCATGCCCATGCCCATGCCCATGCCCATGCCCATGCACATGCCCATGCCCATGCCCATGCCCATGCCCATGCCCATGCCCATGCCCATGCCCATGCCCATGCCCATGCACATGCCCATGCCCATGCCCATGCCCATGCACATGCCCATGCCCATGCCCATGCCCATGCCCATGCCCATGCCCATGCCCATGCCCATGCCCATGCCCATGCACATGCACATGCACATGCACATGCCCATGCCCATGCCCATGCCCATGCACATGCCCATGCCCATGCCCATGCCCATGCCCATGCCCATGCCCATGCACATGCACATGCCCATGCCCATGCCCATGCACATGCACATGCCCATGCCCATGCCCATGCCCATGCCCATGCCCATGCACATGCACATGCCCATGCCCATGCACATGCACATGCACATGCACATGCACATGCACATGCACATGCACATGCACATGCACATGCACATGCACATGCCCATGCCCATGCACATGCACATGCACATGCACATGCACATGCCCATGCCCATGCCCATGCCCATGCCCATGCCCATGCCCATGCCCATGCCCATGCCCATGCCCATGCCCATGCCCATGCACATGCACATGCCCATGCCCATGCCCATGCACATGCACATGCCCATGCCCATGCCCATGCCCATGCCCATGCACATGCACATGCCCATGCCCATGCCCATGCACATGCACATGCACATGCCCATGCCCATGCACATGCACATGCACATGCACATGCACATGCACATGCACATGCACATGCCCATGCACATGCACATGCTTGGGGTTTCATCTTAGTGCAGTCACCCTTTTAAGAGCTCACCTTTGCACAGTCAGGGCCGTCCCCTGCCTCATGCCCGATTTGAAAGCGGTTGCCAAAGGAGTGCTCCATGCGCTCCGAGCGGAGTGGAAACGGGGGGTGGCAGAGACAAGAGCTCACCTTGGCACAGTCAGGCCCGTCTCCTGCCTCATGGCCGATCTGGAAGGGGTTCCCAAAGGAGTGCTCCATGCGCTCTGAGCGGATCACCAGCTCGCCCCTCCTCAACCGCAGCTGCCTGTGGCTGAGCCAGGGGTTTCACAAGCAGCACCACATAAGCTCACCTTAGCGCAGTCAGGCCCGTCCCCGGCCTCGTGCCCGATCTGAAACGGGTTGCCAAAGGAGTGCTCCATGCGCTCTGAGCGGATCACCAGCTCGCCCCTCCTGAGCAGCACGAAACCACAGCTGCCTATGCTCGCCACTCGCAGCCGCTGAGCGGGTGGGGAAGAGGTGAGGGAGACAGAAGTGGGGAGCGGGGCGGGAGGGAGAGGCAAAGAGAGAGGATCACTAGCTCGCCCCTCCTCAGCAGCACGAATCCACAGCTGCCTATGCTTGCCACTCGCAGGCGCTGAAGGGGAGGGAAGAGGGAGGGGGGGGGGGAGGGAAGGGAGAGGGAAAAGAGAGGATCACAAACTCAGCCCCGCTTCAGAAGCCAAAACCTGCAGCTGCATAAAAACAGCGCATTCCCACTCACGTCTTTATGAAGCACGGCAAGGGTGATGGTGCACGCGCCTCTCACCCTCGTCCTACAACCCGCATTTGTAGTCACATTGCCACCACTCCATTCAACCATAGTTGTAATCATCCCCTCCTGCCCCCACTTCACGGGTCCAAATCATCGCCCAGCCACAAGGAGTGGCACACAACCACAAGTTTGATGGTGCAGGGTCCACTCACATCTTTATCAAGAACAGCGAGGGTGATGGTGCACGACCCTCGTAGGTCAGTGCCCCCACCCGCCCCCACTCCCCTCACCCATACTCAGAGTCACATAGTCACCTGGCTTTGAGGTACTGCTGCCTGAGAGAACCCACTCACGTCTTTATCAAGCACGGCAAGAGTGATGGTGCAGGACCCGCGTAAATCAGTGCGGCTGTGGCTCTCCTCGATCACCCCCTTGGGATCCATCGGATCCAAATCCTCCTCATCGTCATAATACCCATAGTCGTAATCATCCCCGCCCGCCCCCACTCCGCTCAACCATAGTCACATTATCACCTGGTTTTGAGGGAGTAGCACCCAACATTCCCACTCACGTCTTTGTCAAGGACGGCAAGAGTGATGGTGCAGGACCCTCTCAGGTCCGTGCGGCTGTGGCTCTCCTCGATCACCCCCTTGGGATCCATCGGATCCAAATCCTCCTCATCGTCATAATACCCATAGTCGTAATCATCCCCGCCCGCCCCCACTCCGCTCAACCATAGTCACATTATCACCTGGTTTTGAGGGAGTAGCACCCAACATTCCCACTCACGTCTTTGTCAAGGACGGCAAGAGTGATGGTGCAGGACCCTCTCAGGTCCGTGCGGCTGTGGCTCTCCTCGATCACCCCCTTGGGATCCATCGGATCCAAATCCTCCTCATCATCATAATACCCATAGTCGTAATCATCCCCGCCCGCCCCCACCCCGCTCACCACCCCCCCTCCCGCACCCCCCACGCCCCTCCCTCTCCCGCCGCCCGCTCCGCCGCCCATGCCGCCCGCTCCGCCGCCAGCGCCGTCTAGGCTGCCGCCCGCCGCCGGCCCCCGCCCGACGCCTGCCGAGTCGTTGTGATCCGAATCTAGCTCGGAATCGGATCTGCCGCCCTCTAGATGGTCGGCAAACTCGTCATCGCTGTCGTCGTCCTCGTCACTGTCTGCTCCCTCCTGCCGCGACCGAATCACGTTGACGCAGTTCCACATCATCTCTCGCGAGTATAGACCAGCGTTGATGCCTGGTGGGGGGACGAGGGGACGCATGGGAAGGGGAGGCAGGAAGCGGGAGTGGCATTTGGTGTTGTGGCGGTCAGACAGGTGACTGAAGGCACCTGCTGTTCCCCTCTGCCAGTGCCCCTCTGCCAGTGCCCCTCTGTCAGTTAAATCAAACTCATCGGCTAACTCGTCATCGCTGTCGTCGTCCTCGTCACTATCTGCTCCCTCCTGCCGCGACCGGATCACGTTGACACAGTTCCACATCATTTCACGCGAGTATAAGCCCGCGTTAATCCCTGGTGGAGCGCCGAGGGTGAGGGGTGAGGGGCGCAAGGGGAGGGGAGGCAGGAAACGGAAATTGCCTTCGGTGTTGTGGCGTTTAGTCAGGTGGTGACTACAGGTATCTGCCGCCGAGATGGTCGGCAAAGTCGTCATGAGACTCGTCGTCCTCGTCACTGTCTGCTCCCTCCTGCCGCGACTGAATCACGTTGACGCAGTTCCACATCATCTCTGGGAATAAAGGCCCGCATTGATGCCTGGTGGATGCATAAAATGCATATAAGGGAGGGAAAGGGGAGGATCAGGGACCGAATCACGTTGACACATTTCCACATCATTCCGCAAATATGAGCCGTAAAATATAGCCTTCACCACCCCCCACCACCCCTAATCACCCCTCACCACCCCCCACCACCCCTAATCACCCCTCACCGCCCCTCAACATCCCTCACCACCCCACCCCTCACCTTGGTCCGTCCACGTGCCAATGCCATCTGCCACACCAAGCCAGTTCCCCTCCACCCATAGTAAACCTTTCTCACCACCCCTCACCACCCCTCATCACCCCGCACCACCCCTTGCCGCCCCTCACCACCCCACACCACCGCACACCACTCCTCACCCTGGTCCGTCCATGTGCCAATGCCATCCGCCACGCCCAGCCAGTTCCCCTCCACCAAATACGCATCGTCACCTCCCCTTGACGCCTGCACATTGCACAACACACACACAATGCACCAACCACAGTTGGTCGGGGTCGAGAAGTCAAACGCTAAAATAGATACGATGCATGAGACAACCCAAGAGTTTTCCCACCTCCCCCCAGCCACCTTAAGCCTACACAGAAGTAGCGGGAGTCAGAGGAAGGATTAAGAGGCTAATAAATCATACACTGGAAGGATTTTTTTCACATCCGGGCAGAAGACAGCAACATAGCCAGGCAGGGAGCAAAAAAATCACAGGCAGGGTGTTAGACGCTGTGTGGACCCCTACCTTCACCTGCAGGCTGTTTTTTACAAATCTCAACACTTTTTCTTTTCTTTTCTTTTTTGGTTCCCCAGTGTTTCTTCTACCTTCTCCTCTCAACAATACTAGAGCACGGTACAAAACGTACCCGGGCAGGGTGGGGTACGCTGTAGACCCCGACTTTCAGCTGCAGCTGATGCAGCACCACGTCCTCCTTGCGCTCAGAGGCCTGGACGGCCAGGCTGAGGGGAAGAGGAGAGGGAACGAAGGGAAAGGGGAGAGAGGGAATTATGGGCAGGGTGGGGGACGCTGTAGACTCCGACCTTCAGCTGCAGCTGATGCAACACCACGTCCTCCTTGCGCTCAGAGGCCTGGACGGCCAGGCTGGGGAAATGTGGGGAAAGAGATGGGTGGAGAATGGTGTGTATGGTGTACATTGTGGTGAGAGAGAGAGAGAGAGAGAGAGAGAGGAGAACACGTGCAGCTCTCAGCTGCAGCTGGTGCAGCACCACGTCCTCCTTGCGCTCAGAGGCCTGGATGGTCAGGCTGGGTTCACACGTGTAGGGAGGAAGAGGGGAGGAGAAAGTTGAATAGTAGGGTGGGAAAGTGGGAGAGCGGAGAGGAGAACACGCGTGGCCATCAGCTGCAGCTTATGCAGCACCACCTCCTCCTTGCACTCGCGGCCTGGACGGCCAGATGGAGCAACACCACGTCCTCCTCATGTACCGGGCTTCTCCCACTTTCGAGGCGCCTCAAAAGTCGGTTGAACAGAATCAGACTGGCTGTCAGCAGCAGCTGGTGCTGCAACACCACGTCCTCCTCATGTAAACGGGCTTCTGCCACTTACTCGCCTGAAACAGTGCCTCCCTCCCTCCGCTACTACTCCCTGACAAAGGGTTAATACCGGGGTGGGGGACGCTATACACCCCGACTTTGAGATGCAGCTGCAGCTGGGGCAAAGCAACACCTCCTCTCCATGTGAACGGGCTTTGCCACTTACTCACCAGAAACAGTGCCTCCCTCCTCTGCTGCTGCTCGTTCTTTGATAATTTTCTTTTTTACTCACAAATCCGAGGGGTGGAAGTAGAGAGCATACCTCCTGCTTTCCTCCTCGTGCACAGGGGCTTCTGCCGCCTCCTCGCCTGAAACTATGCCTCCATCCTTTGCTGCTCCCGGCTCTGCTGCTCCCAGCTCGCCATATCCCCCCTGTGCTGCGTACTCCTGTGCTCCCTGCTCCTGCGCTGCTTGCTCTGCTGCTCCCTCCCCTTGCGCTGCCGATTGCAGCGCTTCCAGTTCTGACTGCATCACTGGGACTGGAACTGGGATTGGGAACACCTCTTCCTCTTCTAGAACCACGCCGTTTGGATAACTGAGATTGGAAGCTGGAAATTGAGAAGCACTTCCCTCCCACCCTGCACTGCCCTCATCCCTCTGCTGCTGATCTTCGTATCCGTGTAAGCCCTGCTGCTGCGCCTCATACCCCTGCTGCTGCTGCTCTTGCTGTTGCTGTTGTTGTTGGTGTTGCTGTTGCTGCTGCTGCTCGTCCCACCCCAACTGCACCTCCTGCTGCTGCTGCTGCTCCCGCTGCTGCTCCTCCCACTGCTGCTCCCTCTGCTGCTGCTCCCACTGCTCCTCTTCCCACTGCTGCTCTTGCACCCCTTGCACCCCAGCCTGCTCTTGGTTCCACGCAGAGGGCACACCAACCCCCCCTCCCGCTCCCTGTTCCTCCCACTGCTGCTGCTCCTCCAGCTGCTGCTGCTGCTGCTGCTGCTGTTGCTGCCACTGCTGCTGTTGCTGTTCTTGCTGCTCCTGCCACTCTTGCTCCTGCTCCTGCTGCTGCAGCAGCACCTGCTGCTCCCTTTGCACCTGCAGCTGCTGCCGCGCCTGCCTCTCCCACTCAGCATCCTGAATCTGCTCCCTCAGACTCTGCGCCTGCTCCTCTAGCTGCTCTAACTGCGCCTCTGCCTGCTCCCTCGACCCAAACCGGAACACCACCGTGTCCTCCTCATGCTCTGCTTCAGAGATGGAGACAAGGGGGGGGGGAGGAAGGGTGGGTCGGAGAGACGGGTGCAGGGGAGACGGGGGGAAGGGAGAGGAGTAAAGAGAGGCACTATGGTGTGCCTGCTGCTCTCAGGCTGAGCCACTCGCGCCTCTGCCTGCTCTCTCGACCCAAACCGGAACACCACCGTGTCCTCCTCGTGCTCTGCTTCAAGATTGAAAAGGGGGGAAAAGAGGGAGGAGAGAGAAGTGAAGAGAGGGCATTAATGCGTGTCTGCTGCCCCAGCTGCGCCATGCGCGTCTCTGCCTGCTCCCTCGACCCAAACCGGAACACCACCGTGTCCTGCTCGTGCTGTGCTTCAGGGATGGAGAACAGGGGGGGGAGAGGGGAGAATGTGGGTAAGGGATACGATGGGCGAGGTGAAGGCTTATGGTGTGCCTGCTGTTTCAACTGCGCCCCACTCGCCCCTCTGCCAGCTCCCTCGACCCAAACCGGAACACCACCGTGTCCTGCTCGTGCTCTGCTTCAGGGATGGAGAACAGGGGGGGGAGAGGGGAGAATGTGGGTAAGGGATTTGATGGGCGAGGTGAAGGCTTATGGTGTGCCTGCTGTTTCAACTGCGCCCCACTCGCCCCTCTGCCTGCTCCCTCGACCCAAACCGGAACACCACCGTGTCCTGCTCGTGCTCTGCTTCAGGGATGGAGAACAGGGGGGGGAGAGGGGAGAATGTGGGTAAGGAATTTGATGGGCGAGGTGAAGGCTTATGGTGTGCCTGCTGTTTCAACTGCGCCCCACTCGCCCCTCTGCCTGCTCCCTCGACCCAAACCGGAACACCACCGTGTCCTGCTCGTGCTCTGCTTCAGGGATGGAGAACAGGGGGGGGAGAGGGGAGAATGTGGGTAAGGGATTTGATGGGCGAGGTGAAGGCTTATGGTGTGCCTGCTGTTTCAACTGCGCCCCACTCGCCCCTCTGCCTGCTCCCTCGACCCAAACCGGAACACCACCGTGTCCTGCTCGTGCTCTGCTTCAGGGATGGAGAACAGGGGGGGGAGAGGGGAGAATGTGGGTAAGGGATTTGATGGGCGAGGTGAAGGCTTATGGTGTGCCTGCTGTTTCAACTGCGCCCCACTCGCCCCTCTGCCTGCTCCCTCGACCCAAACCGGAACACCACCGTGTCCTGCTCGTGCTCTGCTTCAGGGATGGAGAACAGGGGGGGGAGAGGGGAGAATGTGGGTAAGGGATTTGATGGGCGAGGTGAAGGCTTATGGTGTGCCTGCTGTTTCAACTGCGCCCCACTCGCCCCTCTGCCTGCTCCCTCGACCCAAACCGGAACACCACCGTGTCCTCCTCGTGCTCTGCTTCAGGGATGGAAAGGGGGGAGAATGCGTAACCGGAGGGGGAGAGTAGGGGGGAGAGAGGAGTCAAGGGAAGGTCTTAAGGTGTGCCTGCTGCTCCAGCTGAGCCACTCGCGCCTCTGCCTGCTCCCTCGACCCAAACCGGAACACCACCGTGTCCTCCTCGTGCTCTGCTTCAGGGATGCAGAAGGGGGTCGAGTGGGGGAGCGGGGGGAGAGGGGTGGAGGATGAGGGGAGAGGGGATGGGGAAAGAAGAGAAAGGAAGGGATGTGGTGAAGTGTGAGGAGCACGGAGATGGTAGGAGATGGTACGAGAGGCAGCAGGAGGAAGGAAGCTGGGGGGGAAGTTGGGATGGTGGACCAGGAGGGGAGAAGAGATTGTGTCGGAGAGAAGGGCGGTGAGCACAAGAACGGATCGGCTAAAGAGAGAGGGGGCAAAGTGTTGAAATCACTTTTGAGGTTTCTCAGAGAGGAGAGGAGACTACGTGGGAGAGAAGGGCGGTGAGCACAAGAGCGGGTCGGCCGCAGAGTGTAGCAGAGAGAGGGGGGCGGAGTGTAGCATACCATGGACGTCAAGAAGCACCCACGCAGCTTCCTCCTCGCCGTCCTCCTCATCACTGTAGTCCAAGAACCCCACGCCCATCACCCCCACCGCCGCCTCGCTGCCCCCATGCTCACCCCCAGGAACACCCTGAAGCTGTTCTTGAGGCGCCTCAAAATCAACCTCCACGCCCATCATCCCCACTGCCTGCTCACTGTCCCCATGCTCCAACGCCTGAACCCCCCCCTGCTGCTGCTGCTGCTGCTGCTGCTGCTGCTGCTCTTGCTGCTCTTGCTGCTCTTGCTGCTCTTGCTGCTCGTGCTGCTGTTGTGAATGCTCCTGTTGATTCCACGCCTGTTGCTCCTCTTGGCCCCAACCCCCAGCCTGTAGATCCTGCTGCTGAGCCAAGTACTCTGCTTGTTGCTGTTGTTGTTGTTGTAGTTGCTGCTGCTGGGTCAAGTACTCTGCCTGCTGCTGCTGCTGCTCCTGTTGTTGAGCCGAGTAATCCGCTTGTTGTTGTTGTTGTAGTTGCTGCTGCTGGGTCAAGTACTCTGCCTGCTGCTGCTGCTGCTCCTGTTGTTGAGCCGAGTAATCCGCTTGTTGTTGTTGTTGTAGTTGCTGCTGCTGGGTCAAGTACTCTGCCTGCTGCTGCTGCTGCTGCTGCTGCTGCTCCTGCTGCTGAGCCGAGTACTCTGCTTGTTGCTGCTGCTGCTGCTGCTGTTGTTGTTGTTGTTGTTCGTGCTGCTGCTGTTGGGCCCAGTGGTCTGCCTGTGCTTGCTGCTCCTGCCATTGCTGTTGCTCAAATTGTTGTTGTTCCTGCTGTATTTGCTGCTGCTCCTGATGCTGCTGCTCTTGCCGTCGGTATTCTGCCTGTGTTTGTTGCTCGTGCCACTGATGCTCCTCGGATTGATGCTCTTGCTCGTGTTGCTGCTGCTGCCCCTGTTCCTGCCATTGCTGCTCCCCTGATTGTTGCTCCTGCCACTGCTGCTCCGCTGATTGTTGCTCCTGCCACTGCTTCTCTTCTGATTGTTGCTCCTGCCACTGTTGCTCCTCGGATTGACGCGCCTCCCACTGCTCTGCCTGTGATCGTTGCTGTTGGTACAATCTCGCCTGCTCCTCCTGCTGCTGCTGTTGCTGTTGCTCCTCCTCCCGCTGCTGCTGCACCTCCTGCTGCCTTTGTTCTTCAGCCCACTGTTCAGACTGTGCTTGTTGTTCTCGCCAGGCCATTGCTTGCTCTTGGCCCAATTTCTCCTGCTCCTCCCGCTGCTGCTGCTCCTCCTCCCGCTGTTCGTTCCGTTGCTGCTGCTCCCGCTGCTGCTGCTCCTGCTGCTCTACTTGCTGCCTCTGTTGTTCAGCCCACTGTTCTGCCTGCGCTTGTTGCTCTCGCCATTGCATTTCCTGCTGCAAGTCAAATTGCTGTTCTTCTTGCTGTCGCTGTTGCTCCTTGAATTGCTGCTGCTCCAACTGCTGTTGCTGTTGCTGCTCCAACTGCTGCTGCTGCTGCTCCGACTGGTGTTGTCGCTGCTCCAACTGTTGCTGCTGATGTTCCAACGCCAAGCCCTCTCCTCCTACAGTTTCCGCGCCAGAACCGTTCTGCACCGCTGCATCAGCTTGAGAATCAGCCTCGGCTGACTCTGAAAAGGGGTGATGAGGTGTTCTATGCAGTGACTCAACCCCTGCGCTTGTTGGCGATTGAGGGGATTGCGATGGGACGGTTTCTGGAGCCAATTCGGCTGCTGCTTCTGCTGGTATTGTTGGTGCTTCTTCTGTTGCTGGGACTGCTGATACTGCTGGTACTGCTGCTGCTGGTACTGCTGCTGCTTCTTCTGTTGCTGGAACTGCTGGTACTGCCGCTGCTGGTACTGCTGCTGCTGGTACTGTTGTTGCTGCTGCTGCTTCGTCTATCACTGCAGCAGCACCTGCGGAACTCGCGATGGGCTGTTCGATATACTGCTCGGATTCTCCTGCATGTGCGGGCTCTGCTGATTCTAAGGTTGCTGCTTCGACTCCATCTACTTCCGCCCCTTGATTTCCCCCATCCGCCTGCGCCTCCGCGCCCTCACGTTTCCGTTCCAGATTCCCCCATTCCGCGCGCCTTTCCGCTTCCGGACCCCCCTGGGCGAGCCCCTCCACGTTTTCCGCATCGGAAGACCCCGTGATAGGGCCCACGTAGGCCCTTGCGCGGACACTTCCGCGGACAGTTGCGCGGACACCTGCGCAGTCAGTTCCGCGGACACTTGCGCGGACATTTGCGCGGGCAGCTCCACAGTCAATCGCGCGAGCGGTTGCGCGGACATGTGAACAGACATGCCCTTGAAAGCTCCTTGTTGAGGCCTGCGAGAGGAAGAGTGGAGCGAGAGAAAAGGGGGAGAATGAGGATAGGGAAAGAGCGGGACGCGAAAGGCAACGCAAGGGAGAAAGAGAACGGATGCAGGATTATCATTAGAAAGGATATTGAACAAATAAACTTAAAGCATGTAATACAGGGCAGGGCATAACTGGCACGGCTACTTCCCTTTCTAAGAATAAGCGGCTTACCGAATTTAACTTCCCAGAAGCCCTGGAAGAAGTTTGGACGAAACAGCTGCAGGAGTGTAATCTGCGAATCGGGAACTGAGACGTCGCGCCGTCCGTCGCACCCCTGGAAATGCGACGGCGAATGTGCGAAGGGGGCTGGAGGACGAGGGAGGCGAGCCCTGCTACTGGCTTCGTAACGGAATACGGAGTCACTAGTAACGAGGATGATCTTTCGAACAGCCGACACGCAACAGACTTCGGAAATGGCTTTAACGCTAATCCTGAAAAATACTTGGTGTTTGGCGAAGGAAAATTCGAGGGTAGCTTTATCTGCGTGCATCGGGAAATGGAACGAGACGGTGTGGAGCCGGAAACGAGTGGCGAGGAGGAACTAAACGAAGCGTACATGACGGCGGTAGATCCGGAAAGCTGAGGTTCGCCTCTAATCGCCGGCGATACGGGACACGTGGATGCAGAAAAGCAGACGGAAATGGTGTTGCTATTTCCGTGTCTTTTTTAGCTGCTCCGTGCTGTTCGCTGCTGTCCACGTGCTTCGCTGCCGCTAGGACGACAGAACAAGAGCTTTTACATGCAAGCCCTAAACAGACGTAAGTGTAAACTAGGAAAGGAATAGCGCTTAATTTTAGGGCTTCATTTTCTCTTTACATGAAGCCCCAGCCTAAATGAGTTCTCATAAAGCGCTTAAACTAGAACGTGTCGCATCGGTGACAATGGTGTTACGAAGATCCTCGCCAATCCCGCTAAGCCAATCATGATAAGCGGCAAATAAGGAGGGACAATTAGAGATAGGATCTTTTAGTACGACCACAAAAGAGATCGTAAGAGGAGAAAGAAAACAAGCACAGCAAGAAAGCCAGCCTTCTAGAAATCAGGTCTCCTGCAGAGCAGTGTCAGAAAGTGACCAACATACCCAAGCCACTTCGACCGCCATGGATGAAGCATGAATGGTTCCAGGATGCAGCATGTATGGGTCCAGGCAGTGCATTGTAAACAGTTCATGAATCAGAGCTCAGACAGGTGAGTAGCGGTTCAAAACGGTGGACACAAAACCGCTGTAAATCGCACAGCAGCGTCACTGAATCCCATGTCACCGAACGTTATTTGTGACATTCCCTGAGGTTCGGGTCGGGGGTTGGCGGAGAAAGGCAGTCGTGGAAGGCGGATGGCGGAAACTGGTTGTGTTGTGGTGTTCAATCCAGGAGCGCGGTGGGCGGGGGGATGTCCGAGTCTCCGCTGCCCCGCCGACCATGCCTGTAATTTCTAGGCGCGGAAAAGTAGTGGAGGGAGGGTGTTCGCGGAATGGGGGAAGGGGGGGTTTCGGTTGGGGGAAGAATCTTCGCTTATGTGTTTGAATCACGGCGCGGGAGAGTCTGTGGTTGCCTGGCATGCGAAATGACTGAACCAATCAGGACGGAGGAAACCCCTAGCCCTGAAAATGACGACACTGCGGCCGAATTTTCGACGTTGGCTGCGAATAACGAAAACGTGACTTTCAGGGACCAACTACACGATGACTGTTCAGACTGTAACCTGGTGTCTTATACAGCTGAGAGTTGTATATTATAAGCTAAAAACAAAGCTTTAGCTTCCACAAGCAATAATGTACAACAAGCACACCGATCATCGGCAGACGCGTTAGGGGTAAAACAACACACAATGCTAATGAAAATAGAAATTAAGGAAACGCTGGTTAGCATGAACTTAGACGAAGGAGGCCGCTGCAAACGCATTTGCTAGCTCTGCAATATCGAAGGGAGACAAACACGGCACACACACACACGTACATAGCATCCACCAGGGGGGAAACAGGAGACACGGTTGAAATGAGCGGAACCAGACCCACATGCAAAACTACCGTACTTGGTGATATGAAACACAACACACATGAGCCACAGAAGGTATGCGATACATACACCTTAGTAACATGAAGCGCCAAGATCACATCAGCTAATCACATCAGATCAAATCCTCACCAGGATCCACAGCCTCCTTGGGCCGCGCACTGATGTCGACCTTGCAGAGCGGACAGCTGGCGTTGATGCGCAGCCAGGTGTCAACACAGGATTGGTGGAAGTGGTGGCTGCAGGGCAGCTGTCGCAGCTCCGTCCCGTCCTTGTAGTGCCCCAGGCAGATGCAGCACACCTGGTAACCATGTAACGGGGGTGAGAAGTTGGGAGGGAAGGGGTGGAAGAGGGGGGCGGGGTGGGGCGGGGGGGGGGGGGGGGGAGGGGAGAGGGAGTGGGCGGGGGGGAGGGAGTGGGCGGGGAGGAAGATGGGAAGGGGGGGGAGGAAGGGGGTTGGGTGTTGTTGATCAACTTGCCTCACACCCTCCCCCTGCACCACTCACACTTTGTCTATCCCCACCCATAGCAGCCCCCCACCCCACCTCATAAGAACAGCTACCACGGTCAAACCACTCCCACAACAGCAAAGTGACAGAGCAGAAGCAGAGCATTAGCAAAAACAGGGGAAGGGAGGAGGGAGGAGGAAGGGACGGGGGGGGGGGAAGGGGGTGCGGGTGGGGAGAGCAAGACCGGGTGGGGATTGACTTGGCAGGGAGAGAAAGGGGGGAGAGGAGCAACTCACCGCATCCTCCCCTTGCACCACGCGCTCCTTCTCTGTGCCGGCCCACAGCAGCCCCACCTCAAGAGAACAACAACTACCACTGTTCAGAAGAAAGTGGGGTAAGAGGAGCAACTCACCGCATCCTCCCCTTGCACTACTCGCTCCTTGTCCGTGCCCGCCCACAGCAGCCCCACCTCCTCCGACGAGGAGTCACTATCCGACTCCTCCCCCCCACCCACACCACTGCTGCAAATGACCTCACTGCTCCTGCCCCTTCTGCTGCTGCTGCTGCTGCTGCTGCTGCTGCTGCTGCTGCTGCTGCTGCTGCTGCTGCTGCTGCTGCTGCTGCTGCTGCTGCTGCTGCTGCTGCTGCTGCTGCTGCTGCTGCTGCTGCTGCTGCTGGCACTGCTGTAGGCTCTAGCGCTCAGTGTGCTCTCCTCTTCCTGACTGCCCACTGCCATCGGGCCGTACTCAGATGTCTCAGCTGTCTTTCTGGTTGCCGCCAGTGCTTGCTGCGATCGCCTCCGGTTCCTCCTCAGGCTTGGGGAGCTGCTGCTGCTGCTGCTGCTGCTGGCACTGCTGGTGCTGGCACTGGTGGTGGTGGTGGTACCACTGCTGCTGCTACTGCTGCTGCTGCTGCCACTATCACTGCTGCTGCTAACAGGGCTTCGTTCAGGCGTTTTCATTCCCTCACTACCACTACCATCACCATCGCCATCACCACCACCACCGCCGCCATCACCTCTGCTCTCACCACTCCCCTTGCTGCTCCCCTTCCCACCCCCCCCCTTCCTCCTCCTCTTAAGCTCCTTATACTTAAAGCAGTGCAGTGAGGCAATCTCATCAGGAGCAGCACCCTTAGAAGCTGGAGAAATGGAGGCGATATCGTTATCAAAGCCCATGAGCGTGATGATGCAGGGCAGGCAGCAGCAGATGGTGGCGCAGAGGAGGAAGGGCATGGCGTAGCTCACGCAGCTGAGCGTCAGAAACACCACGCTCAGACTGGTGGGGGGGAGAGGGGAGGGAGAGAGGATGGGGCAGTATCGGGGTGTTGGACGAGGAAATGGAGGGGGGAGGAGGGAAGAGTGGGTCAAGGCAGGCAGGCAGAGAGCAGAGAAAGGGCATGGCGTAGCATATGCAGCTGCGTCAGAAACACCAGATATTTCTGAGCACAAACCAGGCAACGGGTCTCATTTGTGGCATTTTGATCCTCAGTAGTAGCACATTTGGCATAACCACTCACTTGTACAGTCTCGGGGCGGCCTGGGCGGCGGAGTTGGCGCCAAAGACCCAGATATTGCCGAGCGCGAACCAGACTGCAATGTAGCCCAAATAAGCAACCTTGGTTCTCAGCAGTAGCACGCTTCTCAGTAGTAGCATGTTCGATATAGTCACTCACTTGTACAGCATCGGAGCGGCCTGGGCGGCGGAGTTGGCACCAAAGACCCAGATGTTGCCGAGCACAAACCAGACTGCAAAGAAGCAGTCCACTGCGACCTTGTATCGCTCCACCATCACCACAAGCCTGAGGTTCAGGGAGGGAGAGGGAAGAGAGGAGTGGCAGTGTGTGAGCACAAACCAGACCGCAAAGAAGCAGTCTACTGCAACCTTGTATCTCTCCACCATTACAATGAGCCTGGGGTTCGGTGAGGGAGAGGGAAGAGAGGAGTGGCAATGTGTGAGCACCGGGCTGACTGAACAGCAAGAAACAGTCTACTGCCACCTTGTAGCGTTCCACCATCACAATGAGGCAGTCCACTATCACCACGAGCCTGGGGTTCAGGAAGGGGAGGACAGGGAAGGGAAGGGGAAGGGGGGGGGAAGGAAAGGAAGGGAGGGAGGAAAGGTCTAAGTGAGCACAAACGGCTGACTGAACTGCAAAGAAGCAGTCGACTGCTACCTTGTATCGCTCCACCATCACCACGAGCCTGGGAAAGCGGGGGGCGGGGGGGGAAGGGATGAGCAGGAGGGGGAGGGGGTGTTTCTGAGAAGTGGGGCCCGTGCAACCTTGTTTTGCTCCACTGTCACCACGAGCCTGGGAATCGGAAGGGGGGTTGGGGGAAAGGGAGAGCGGGGGGGGAGGGGGTTAGCGGGGGCAATGAAGTGGGCGGGGAACACGCATGATTGGGGGGAGAGGAAAGAGGAGGAGAAAACACCTGAAAAGGCACCTGAAAAGGTACCTGCAAACGGAAACCCACCTGGATTCGTCCCGCCAATCATCAGCAATCTCATTCAAGAACCGCCACATGCACCCCCACCACCCCCTCCCCTCCTCCCCCCAATTCCGCTGCGCCATCTCCCCCGCCGCCACTGCCCTTTCCGCCACATAGCTCTCCCAGAACCGCGCGCCCTCGTCTCGCCCCCCCGCACCCCCCCCATTCGCGCCTACGCAGTGCGCATTCCCCCCAGCGCCACCCGCCCTCCCCCAAGTGCCCTCCGCGCTTCCCTCTACCCCCCTGCCAACTGCGCTGGTCGCAAGGACCTCTCTCTCCCCCACTATAAGCTGCCCCGTTACAAGCTGTCCCGCCGCAGCCTGCCCCGCGACAGCCTGTCCCGCTACAAACTGCCCCGCTACAGCCTCCTCTGCTGCAACGGGCGGCTGCTGCGCCCTTGCTGACGCATGCGCAAGGGGATGCGGACAGGCGCATGCGAGCTCAAGCAGCGGAGACTGGGCCGAGACACGTGGCGCAATGTTATTGGTTGATTCTTGTGGCGTGTGCGACGGGGAAGAACAAGGAAATGGGGAAATGGACGGTGATGGGGGGGAATCATTATGCTGTTGCTCCCGCTGCTGCTGCTGCTCGTGGTGGTGCTGCTGCTGTTCTTGATGCTGCTGCTGCCGCTGCTGCTGCCGCTGTTGCTGCTGCTGCTGCTGCTGCTGATGCTCCTGCTGCTGCTGCAGCTGCAAGCGCGACAGCATTTCAAAGCGCTGCCTATTCTCCTCTTCCCGTTGCCGCTGCTCCGCAAACCCACTTTGCCGCGATTGCTGACCGGACATCTGACGGATCGGAGGGTCCACGTAAGCCTCAGCAGTCCGCGAGTGATGGCGGGTGTATCTATGCGTGTACCTCCAGTACAACAGTGGCAGTAACAGGACACACCCTACCGCGTATCCCAGCACCCACGCTCGCAAGGGCACAGGCGGTTTTTCATCCATCGACGCGAAGACAATAAACGCCGTCGCCAGGATTTGACCTAGGATAAAGACAAACTCCGCAGCCACCCAGAGACCCGAGTTCAGCGGGCTCGTGCGAACGCGCCGGCCGGCGAATCGGGAACGGCCGGCAGCCTGCACGTTAGGTCTTGACGGCCGGCGCGGCAGCTGCTCTCCCCAGTCACCAAGCGATGATGATCCCAACCCCTGCTGCTGTTGCGGCTGCTGCAGGTGATGCGGGTGATGCGGGTGATACGGATGACGTGGGTGATACGGGTGACGCAGATATTCCTCGCTCTGCGGGTAACGCCCCGTCCGCTGCTGTTCTAAACCTTGAGAAAGAAGCAGAACCTCATCCTCTTCCGCTTCCCCTTCCTCTCCGCCTTCCTCAGTCCAAAATCCATTCACCGCACTTTCCAAGAAGTCTCTTCGAGCCCCCCAGCCCTCTCTGCTCCCCGCAACCCTCGCAGCTGTGCGCCAGCGCTCTCCGCTCCCCGGAATCCCCCCGATTGGGGAGCTGCGCGACGGAAGAGCGCCGAACTCAGTTCTCCGCTCCGCGGACTGCGCGTCCAGTGCGAAGGTAGAGGGAATGGCGGAAGAAACGGCGGAATCCGCGGACGCGAGAAGTTGCACAAACCCGCCCTCGCCATCCACGTCCAGACGCACGGGTGGTGGAGAGGCGAACGGGCGGAGGAACACGCGGAAATCCGCTTGCGCCTCCGCCGGCGCGGAAGCTTGTTGCGCTCGTCCTCTTGCGCCTCCGCCAGCCGCGGAAAGCTGCGGTGCGTCGAGACTCCGCGGTTGAATGCGCGGCTCTTCTGTCGCGGTCGAGCCCGGAACGCCATGCAATGAAGAGTTGGAAACACAAGGCACGTCAGAATTTAAAACCATCCCCTGCAGAGGCGACGCTGCTGTTGGCGGAGGAAGCGGCGGGAGCGGCAACGCAACATCGGGCTCAGATGTCAACCCCTGGGTTTTTTTCTCGGGCGAGTTGGCGGCGATTTGGATGAAATGGTCCGACGCAGAGCACGGCCATGGCGTCGACATTGCCTGCGATTCGCCGGGGCTGGAAGAAGCGGCGCCGAGCGTTTGACACGATTTAAATTGGCCGTCGGCGTGGGAAGGTGGACGCGAGGAGTTAGACTGGTCTGCTTGGTGAGGGTTACCGGAGGAGGCCATATTGCCGAACGGATGGAATATGCTCGTACCTGCTCGTGTTTCCCGATTTTTATTCAGAATCAGCGCTGGCGACTCGTACCATGGCGTCAGAGGAACTAGTGAGGCCGAAGGGGAGAGACAATGCTACGAGGTATCATACACGAATGGAATATTGCGCTACAGGACAACAGCTGGTAACAGCTGCGCTTATGCAACAAACACTCAACAAGGCGGACTAAAACTTACATGTGTTTTAGATGAGAGATTAAACCTGGCAGCCTACCCCTAACTCACGGCTCGCGTGGTGCGTTGTGAGCGAGGAAGCAGGTGCAGAGCAGCTAAAACATCGTTTGGACTTGCATGAAGCACAACGAATTATTGCATTCGCTGCATTCTGTGGCGTTTATCCTCGGGCTGGGAGGGAAGAACGACCCTGGGCTTTGCTTCACATTTCAGGCGTCTCTAGCACCTTGGTGTTACCTGGCTAGGCAAATACCTACCTAGGCCCTGGGTTTCCAAACCAGAACTTGGACTTACCAGACCTGGGAAGAACGAACCTGCACCTTGCCTCTCACACCTGAAGACTGCAAATACCTAGGCTTTTCAAACCTGACCTTGGGAGTTACCAAACCGTCAGGATTCCATACCAGGCCTCGGGCCTACCAAAACACTCCATCTCGGCCCAGCAATCACGCGAGCTTCCCAAGGACAGAGTGACCTTCGTTCCGAGACTGCTGCCGAACCGAGCATGCCATGGCTGCTTCGGTGGTTGTTCTCCAGGTTCGGCTGCGTGGGATGTCTAGGCTGAGCTGAGTGATTTTGGACGGTCGGATAAGATGAAAAGGGGGTCGAGATCGTATGGTTGGACGAGACTGGTTCGCCCAACAGAGAAGAACCCAGGGTGAGGTGGGGGGCGAAGAGGCGGCTTGGGTGGCGTAGCGAACTGTTTTACCGTGTGCGACAACCTAGTGACGTGGAACTTGCGGCTGCTGATGGCAAGAGCCCAAGGATATAGGCTGGCGACGCGACCGTGTCGGTGTCTGGGATTTCACCTGGTTCGCAGTCCTTGGCGGCTGGAACAGTGCGACAAAATGAGGGCCAATATACAACCACGGGAGAAGCAATCGCCCATAACGAATTCTTCGTCAGAAGGTGCAGAGAGTTACCACATGGCAAGGCCAGATTTACAGTCAGCATTGGAATTCGACCAGATACGTTTGAGCAGCCCTAAAGCCCAGCGAATCGCGGGCTTCCAACGCAACGGCGCGCTGCTTCATCCACCACGATTCGACTACACAAGTAAATATCAGGGGATGGAGAGGGGAATCGTCGTGACTGTACGTAGTTTTATTTTGTGATTATCAAACAAATTTTATTTCCAAACTCTCACAAACGAGCCATTATCAACCAAAGGTTGCAGATTCCTCCCCATGGAAGACGCCGCACGAAGCAGGATGACACGGGCTTGCGCCCGTTGTAACGCCACCCCAACAAGCGCCTTCAGAGACCCCAAAAGGTAAGCTGAAAACGAAGTGTCATCCTCCCGACAAGCCCCCCGTGACACAGCTAGCCCCAAGTGCGCGTCCCCCTGCTGTCGAAGCCACCGCCGGAAACGGCCACCGAGACACCCCCACGTCTCCACTATCAGAGGGGTGAACCGCACGCCCCGATTGCGTGCGAGTAGAGGCGCGTAATCACTCGTTTTGCGACGCTCCCACTCCCGTGCCGCCACTCCTATGGAACGCCCGCACTGCCCTAGCAAAGATGGAGACAGCGATAGCGGGTCCGCGACGCTAATCTCCAGAGCGTGAGCCTCTCCGGCCATTGGTCGTCGCACCGCTACGTCAACCCGCTTCCCCGGCAGCACCACACTATCCTCCATTGTCACAAACCCCCCTGACGCCTTAGAAATCCTCGCCACCGCAAACTTCACCTCGTCATGAACCCGAGATGGACCGTGCTGGTGTCTGCATCTCAGGGCATGATGCGGGTCCGCTGGGTCAACATACGCTGTGCCACAAACACACCGCCCTGCCACCTGCAGTTGTTGAATTGGGAGCCCAAGCCGTATAGCAGCAGCAATGCCCCACTCAGCCGCGGTGAGTGTGAGGTCTGAGTGAGCTGGGACCGACGTAACCCATGCACCAGCCCCCGGGCCCTGAAGGGATGTGAAACGGGCCAGGGTGGCATCGTCACGGGCCATGCGGCGCAGTTCCCCAAGCTCCTCTACAGCCAATTGCCGCTGTCGCGCCTGGAAAAGCCGAAGAGGAGGGGCCGCTACGCACAGAGGTAAGCCCGGCATCTCCTGGCGTATAGTCGCAGGCAGCTGCTCGAGAGCCTTAGCAAACCACGGGTCAAGAAACTCTGCCCCTGTCGAAGTGCTGAGGTACTCTGCAAACATCGTCTCCTCACCCGCCACCCCTAGCTGTGCAATATCGCGCGCGGCCTGCGCCCACCCACAAACATAGGACAGTGGGCTCAGAGAGGCCGCCGCTCGGATCCCAAACCCTCCGAGTCGCACAGGGAGGTGCAGCTGCATGCGTGCGCGCCTAGACCGGTCGGGGTCCTGCTCCCAAGTGCCAGGTGGGAAAAGCTGCTCAAAGCAATCTTCCTGACAGCTGTCCCAATCCCTAAAGGCCTCCACCACCTTCGGGCGCGGCGACATAGTCCGGGCGAGGTACATCGGCCGCGCTGAAACTGCAATGGCGAGGAGATGTGAAGCCATCTGAGGGTGGTCGAGCAGGGGGAGCCATGGCAATGGCGCCTGCAGCTGTCGAAGCCGCTCCCGTAACCGGACCACCTCCCAATCCTCCTCCCCAATAGGCACACCCACCACAGTGAGGCCCTCCTCCACCCGCTGCATCCCCAACGGCAGTGCCCTCTCCGCATCCACGTCTTTGCGCTCCTAAAACCGGCACTTGTGCGCCTGCACCTCCAGCCCCACCCACTCCAACCGCTCCCGCAGCACCCCAAAAGCCTCTAGAATCCTAGCCGGTGGTCCCAAGATATAGGTGTCGTCCGCATAACTAAGGAAAAGTATGTCCCTGAACTCTCTAGTAACCGGCTCCATCACCTGCTGCTGCGTGAACGCAAAAAGGAAAGGGCCGAGCGGGTCCCCCTGCCGCGATCCCCGTGCCGACGCGAGGCTCTGTACGAAGGGACCCGCTCGGAGGTACAGGTCGCTTGGTGTCCCATAAAAAACACGCAAGAATGGGATCAATCCTGAGAAAGGCGACTCCCGCAACCCCTCGAACATCGTATGGCGGTGAAACGAATTGAAGGCATTTGCGACGTCTATCTGCAGCGCACACCACTCGGGGTGAGTGGCCAGCGCTGACCGAAAAGAATGAGTGAGAATCTCCACCCCCGCCCTGGTGCCCGCTCCCAGCTGGTTGCACGGCAGAAAGTAGGAAGCCATCGCCGGGCGGAGCGAGATGCAGAGAGCTCGAGCAAGGATACGCGGAAGCACCTCCCCAATAGCCACTGGCCGGACGTCGCCGTTAGGCTTGGAAAGCCCAACTAGGTTGGATGCGGCAAGCCAGGGCCGAGCCCGCTCGGGGACCTGTCCCGCCACCCATTGGTTGAACACTTCCAACAGGTGGGGAAGGCAGGAAGGTTCAGTGAGGAAGGTGTCGCGCAGATGCTCCGTGACCCACCCCGAGGGCCCTGCTGCTGAAGCTCGAGCGGCTGTATGGATAGCTCGGGCTAGGATGTCGGTCGTGAGTGGAGGCCGCTGAGGAGCATCGACGGTGAAATCACGGACCCACTCTGGTACCTCGCCGGTGCTAGTAGGGTGCTTCTCTCGCAGCGACTGCACCATGGCCTCAGACGGTCGAGCCAACTCCCCTGCCGTAAGGCAAGCCAATCCACGGCTCCACTCCCCCACTTTACACCGAGATCGGCAACGTGACAGGCGGATGGCATCAGGGTCCTGGTCAGAGCAAGTGTAGGCAAGTGGGCGAACTGCTGGCCGCGCCGCTACCATGGCAGAGTCGAACAGCTCCCGCCACCTCCCCTCCCAGAACGCCCCCAGACGCTCAGTGATCAGCACCTTCTGACCTATGCCTGGCTTGGGAGGCACCGCTAGGATGAGGCGCGGAAACGCCAAGAGTAGGAGGGTAGCGGCTTCATCCCCCGGTCGGCTCTTCAAACGCTTTAAGATGCAACAGAGCGCGTCTAAAACCCCCGACCGAGCGCTCCTGCGTGTCGGTCTCCACCAGAGACGGGATCGAGCCGAGAGCCTGCGCGCGCCTCTCCGCCTCAGCTGCCCGGCAGACCCTCATGTGGTTCGCGGCGGCCCCTCGCGTAGCGAACGTGTGAAAACACGTGTCACACTGAAAACGGGGGCATGGCGAAGGCGGCCTGGGAGGCTCTCCGTCCGCCTCCGACTCCTCCGCAATCGCCATGGGGGTATCAAACTCCAACAGTCGGCACCACTCCTCCCACTGCTGCCCCTGGTCGTCCATCAACTGCCCTCCAGACTGCTGCGCTCCCTCGGGTGCTCCGGTCATCCCCGGCTGCTCCCCTGGCTGCTGCCCTCCCTCGGGTGCTCCGGTCGCCCCCAGCTGCCCCCCTGGCTGCTGCACTCCCTCGGGTGCTCCGGTCGCCTCCGGCTGCCCCCCTGGCTGCTGCACTCCCTCGGGTGCTCCGGTCGCCCCCGGCTGCCCCCCTGGCTGCTGCACTCCCTCGGGTGCTCCGGTCGCCCCCGACTGCCCCCCTGGCTGCTGCACTCCGTCGGGTGCTCTGGTCGCCCCCGGCTGGCCCCCTGGCTGCTGCACTCCCTCGGGTGCTCCGGTCGCCCCCGGCTGCCCCCCTGGCTGCTGCACTCCTTCGGGTGCTCCGGTCGCCTCCGGCTGCCCCCCTGGCTGCTGCACTCCCTCGGGTGCTCCGGTCGCCCCCGGCTGCCCCCCTGGCTGCTGCACTCCCTCGGGTGCTCCGGTCGCCCCCGACTGCCCCCCTGGCTGCTGCACTCCCTCGGGTGCTCCTGTCACCCCCGGCTGGCCCCCAGCCCTCTGCCCTCCCTGTCGTCGCCCCCTTCGGCGCCGTGCCCGCGGCCGTTCCGCTTGGCCTGTGCCACCCGGGCTCGTGACCCCCTGCTGACCCTGCGCCTGCGACTCCTGCGACTCACTCATCGGCAACCCCTGTTGTACGCTGCCAGGCAAGGGCTGGTTCCCCTCATGACGCCCTTGCTGCCCCCCTGCCTGCAGCTGGGGCTGATTCCCTGTTTGACTCCCGTCATGCACGCCCACCGGCAGCTCCCCTCGCGCCTCCTCTTGTGGCCCCTCCAGCTCCCCTTCCAGATCCTGCAGCCCCCCGGCCTGCTGCTGCCCCTCAGTTTGCAGCTCCTGCTGCCCCCCAGCCTGCAGCTCCTGCTGCTCCCCGGTCCCCTGCTCCACCTCCATCTCCGCCTCCAACGCCTGCTACCCTCCAGCCGACTCCTGCTGCCCCCCAGCTTGCAGCTTCCGCTGCCCCGCGGCCTGCAGCTCCTGCTGCTCCCCGGTCCACTGCTCCACCTCCATCTCCGCCTCCAACGCCTGCTGCCCTCCAGCCAACTCCTGCTACCCCCCAGTTTGCAGCTCCCGCTGCCCCCCAGCCTGCAGCTCCTGCTGCCCCCCAGCCTGCAGCTCCTGCTGCCCCCCGGCCTGCAGCTCCGGCTGTCCCCCAGCCTCCGGCTCCTGCTGCTCCCCTGCTTGCAACAACTGGAGCCCTCCCCGCCGGGGGTTCTGCTGGCCCCTTGCCGGCAGTTGGAGCTGGCTCCCCGCCTGACTCCCGTGCTCCCCCCTTCTCCGCGGTTTATGTCACGTCTCATCTCACCGCCCCCACTGCCCTTTCGCCGGCGGCTGCGGCTGGACCTCCTCCAGGCTCACATGCTGCACCCCTGACCGCCCGTGCCGCCCTCCCGGCCGCGGCTCCAGCTCCCCTCCGGCCAGCATCGCACAGGGTCTCTCCTACAGGGCTCCGGGCGTGCGCCTCCGTTCCTGCCGTTGGGCCAAACGTGGGCCGCGCGGGGCTGGGGTGTCGGGTTTGGTGAGGGCAGAGCCTGCGAACGGAGTGCCGAGAGCATGTCGACGCCTGTCGTGTGTCTCCTGCAAACGCCGGCGGTGTGCTTCCCATACCGCCATCGCCGCATCAGGGGCGATGCCCTGCCTAAGCTCCCCGCGGACATGTTCGCCCTCTTCTGTGACTGCCTCGCCTTGATTGGGACAATTGTTGCTGCCGGCTACGGGACTGCCCGGAGTGTCTTCAGTGTGTGCCTCCGTCCTCACCTCTGTCAAAAGTGATCCGCACCGTTGTCGTTTGCTGGGCGTGCCTAAGGGGCAAAGCTCGTGACTTTGATGACAGAGACGTGGGTGTTGTGAGTATAGTGTCGTCTCTCTGGGTCTCTTGGGGCCAGATTCCGACGGGCGCTTCCATCCCCTGGTTGCTGTCCACTCCCCCCCGTCGCCCTGGAGTTCCGTTTTTCGCCTCGGGTTGCAGATTCCTCTATGTTAGGCATCATCCATATAAGATTAATGTGATTGTGTCTTAGCTGCGGGGCTGCTAAGACCCACGTTATCTTGTGAGAATATATTCCTCTTGCTAATCAGATAATAATGTTGGACCCTTTATGTTGTTATAACTGAAGGATCGTAGTGGACAGAATAAGGCTGCTAAGTTAAGGAAAGACTATGAAGTCTTTGAATGACCTTGTCAATAAGATCGAAGAGAACAAGATGGTTAAAGGATAGTGATACAAGGAATAAATAGCAATCCTAGCTAGCCATGTACCCTGAGGGGTACATTCCCTTATTAACCGAATTGCATTGCTACAGTAACCACGACTATTGCTATTCTTGACAGTTACCATGTTGCAGCGCGTAACTACCAAGTGCGGTTACTGGGCAGTCAAGGGTCACGACCGTTGACTGTCTTCGACTGTTGACCTTCGGGTGACCCTCGACCTTCCACATGCTCTATATGAGCTATTGCGATACTGATACAGGCGCGTTGTTTCGCTATGGAGTGACGCGCGAGTGGAGAGCCTTCGGGAATGTTATGATAACCTTTCATTTATTCCAACACTCCCCTTCATTCCTGAAGGTGAGCCACGTGGGATTTTTTCGAGATCCCGCAGAGGTCGGTGCAGTGCTGAAACTTCTGACGTGGCAGTTTCTTGGTCAAGAAATCTGCTGTCATGTCACCGGTTGGGCAATACGTGAGTTTGACCTTGCCCTTGTCGATCTCGTCCTTGACGAAGAAGTAACGGAGTGCGATGTGTTTCGTGCGGTTCACGAAGCCGGGCTTGTTCGCGATCTTGATCGCGCTCTGGTTGTCGCAGAGTAACGTGAAGTGCCCGTTCATCGTCACTTTCGCTTCCTGTAGGAGCTCCATCATGTACAGTTCTTCGCGAACAGCTGCGCTGGCGGCAATGAACTCAGCTTCGGCTGACGAAAGTGCAATGAGCTCCTGCTTCTGGGAGTTCCAAGAGATGAGTCCGGCAGGTTGGAGTTGAAAAATGAATCCTGTACGGGAGCGTCTGTTGTCAATGTCTGCCGCGTGGTCTGCGTCAACGTAGCCGTGAAGCTGTAGAGTAGCGGTGAGGTTAGCTTCGTAGGTGAGTCCGACGTCAGGGGTAGAAACGAAGTATTGGAGTGCTCGGCGTAGATCCAGTAAATTCCCCCCTTCAAGTCGCTTCAGGTACTGTGCGAGCTGGCTTGCGACGTACGAGAGATCGGGCCGGCACGTGACGGCGGCGAACAGGAGACACCCCAGCTGCTGCTGATAAAGTCGATGGTCCTCGATAGAGAGCGGTGTTGTGTCGTGTTCGTGGTTGGGAGGAGGAGTGCGGAAGGGGGTGGTGAGATTAATCGGGGCGACAACGAATTTCTTCGCTAGTGTTTCCGCGTATTTAGCGGCGGAGAGGTGGATGGAGGTGGCGGATTGGGTGATGTTGAGGCCCAAAAATTGAGTGACGTTGTGGTTGATGGTCACTTCAAGCTTCTCTTTGATATCCGCCTCAAGCCGATCTAGCAGCTCCGTGTCGTCGCCGGTGTAGAGGAGATCGTCGACGTAGGCGACGAGAAGAATGAACTTGCCTCGCGACTCCTTCCGGTACATTCCAAGGTCGTGCGGTAGTTGCTTGAATCCGAGCTCCGTGAGGACGGTGTGCAGGTACTGCTGCCATAGCCGAGGTGCCTGCTTAATCCCATAGAGGGATTTTTGAAGAAGGCAGGCGGCGCCGTCGCTCTCCTCGAAGGCATGCGGCTGCTCAACGAAGATGATGGCGTCGACGGGGGCGTACAGGAATGCACTGCCGACGTCGATTTGACGGAGTGGCTGCTGCTTGACGGTTGCGACGCAGATGAGGATGCGCACCGAGGTGTGTCGCCCGACAGGTGCGTAGGTGAGGTCAAAGTCCACCATGTGAGTTTGCTCGAACCCGCGCACCACCCATCTTGCTCTGTACTTGTCGATGGAGCCGTCTGCAAGTGTTTTGATTCGGAAGACCCATTTGCCGCTGAGAATTTTCCTCCCCTTCGCTGATGATCGTGGAACCAGCTTCCACGTTTCGCGGCTCTTTAGTGTTGCGACTTCTGCGGCCATGGCTGCCTTCCATTTCTCACTGTCGGGGCTAGACAAGGCCTGGCGAACGGTGGTGGTTCCTTGGGGGAGGTGTGACGAACAGCTCCGGCGAGCCCAAGGATGCGGAGACCAGTTTTGTTGGTCTTCTCGTAGTGAAGGCGATCGTAGTCGTGGAAGCTGGTTACTTCGACGACATCGTCGTTGCTGTCGTTGCCGAGGCGGAGGGTGTCTTGCGAGGTGTTTGGAGGTGGTAACTCGGCATCAGGTGATCGGCGCGCTGTGCTGTTGTAGTTGTGGGCTTCGTGAGTTGTATCGACGGGATCGAATTGGTGTACAGGAATGAATGTTGGAGTCTGGAATGGGCTTGTAAGGGGGATGTTGGGTGCGCTGTCAAATTGGGTGACATCTGCTGCATCAGCATCTTCCGCCAGGTCAGCTTCATCGTGTGGAGTTGCAAAGCTGCGATGTCCCTCGAAAACCCTTTCCGGTGCCTTGTCAGCTTCGCGGTGCTCCTTGAACAGTGGCAGAGTCAGCTTCTCGTAGAAGATGCAGTCACGTGATTTTGCAACTTCGTGTGTCGCGTAGTCCAGCACGATCCACGCCTTGTATTCTTTTTCGATTCCGAGGTGGATGCCCCAGCGTGCTCGGTCAGCAAATTTTCCGGTCCTTGCTGTGTGTGGCCTGTACTGTACCATGCAGCCGAACACCCGAAGCAGACGCGTGTCTGCCTTTCTGCCCGTCAAAGCCCTGTAGGGAGAATTGTTGTTCTCGAGGCTTCGGGACGACAGCAAGTTGTGCAGCCGGACAGCGTGGTTCATCGCAAATGGCCAGTACTTGGTTGGGACGGCCGACTGCTTCATCAGGGCCCTCATCCTGGTGGCAAGGCTCCTGTTTGTCCGTTCTGCTACGCCTTGCTACTCGTGAGCGTAGGGCAGGGACACCAGGTGCTCAATCCCCTTCTACTTGAAGAGTTCTTTGAACTCAGTTGAGAAGAACTCAAAACCCCCGTCTGTCTGGTAGGTTTTCAGCTTCAGTCCAGACTGACTTTCAACCTGCTTCATCCATGCCACGAAGCATTCAAAGGCAAGAGAGCGGCAGTCGGTGTTGATGGCCCAGACGTAGCGTGTGCATGCGTCGATGAAGGTAAGGGTGTAAGATTCACCGTCGAGCCCGTCTTAACTGAAAACCATGAAGTCGCTGTAGACTTTCTCCAGCGGCTTGTACGGAAAAGGTTTGTGGGTGAGTGACGCAGTTGGGCACACGGTGCAGGGCGAGTCAGCCGATTCTGCTGTGAGGGAGCCTCCTCGAGGAAGAAGCAGCGCGTCGTCGTCGAAGACTCCGGCCTTGAGAGAATTCTTGAGCGTGATGTGCGAGGGGTGTCCGAGTCGCTGGTGTCATGTTTCCGGTTCCGCACGGTACCCGACTGTCTTCTGATAGTATTTGTTCCTCTCTGCTGCGTCGTTCTGCTCTTTTTCAGGTCCTATGTCGGTGGCGGCGTCAGTGTCGGTTGAGAAGGCCCGAATGGAGTCCCGTTCCAGAAGCGCGCGGGGAATTCCGATGATGTCGTCGGTGTCGCCGGCGTGAACTTGCTCGCCGGTGACAAGAAGATACTGAGATGGTGGCGCCTTGGGCCAGTCGGCGACAGGAAGTCCTTTCATGGGAATTCTGAAGTAACTGTATTCGGCGCCTCGGTAGGTTCTGGTAATTCTGCTGCTCCCCTGAAGAATTCATAAGTTACCTCTTCCTCTGACTCTTCTTGCATTGGTTCTGATGTGTCAGGAGCGTACTGATCTGGGAGAGGAGGTCCGCCCCAGGTGGTGCCACGCGTTGCCCAGTATGGATCGACCGCCGCGGTATCCGCGGGGGGGAGTCCCGGAGCTTCGGGATAGGCAGGGGCTGCTTGCCCCCATCCTCCTTCGCCTGTTGAAGTTCCCCAGCCACCTCCGGTTCCCCAGCCGCCTCCGTTTCCCCAGCCGCCTCCGGTTCCCCAGCCGCCTCCGTTTCCCCAGCCGCCTCCGGTTCCCCAGCCGCCTTCAGTGGCAGCACCAGCCTCCGTTGGAGCAGTGGCGCCGCTTTCTTCCGATGCCGAGACAATGCCCCGCCCTTCTGCGGCTGCTTCTTCTGGCGTTAGAACTTCCCCCAATGGGCCGACTGCTGGACCGGGACTGCCCAATCCTGTTCCAGCCTTTTCGCTTTCTTCGGTGATTGGTTCCGCAGATGCTGACGTGCCGCTGTCCTCTTCCATTGTTGCAGGTCCGGTCTCAGCCGGGTTGGAGGTCGAGACAGTCGGGACGGTGCGCAGTCGCAGAAGACCGTCGGAAGCAGGTCGCTCGAGGTCCATTTCCGTGGGATGCGACCACGTTGGTGGCTTTGAAGGAGTTGTTTTCAGCAGCTGAGTGCGGTCAGAATCTCCTGTGGTGCCCTGAGCCGAGAACTGCAGTACGAAGACTCTGTCGTCGTGAATCGCCTTACCGATGTAAGAGTTGTTGTAGAAGAGCTCGAAGGCCTTGTCTTTGCAGTTGCTGCGGATGTCGACTCCGCACCGCATGAGT